TTAGCTCCTTTGCTCTCAAAATAGTAAATAGATAGACCCATTTACTAGCGTTCATTTCATGTCTCATTTGCTCGTTTCCATTTTAATACCTGACAGTGGATTTTACTTTACTAATTGATTGTATTTGTGTTTCTAGGACTGAACTTCTGAACTGAGCTATGTGTTATGAAATCGATAGAGCGGACTCTGAAATGTTTTCTCTTATAAAGATATGGTGAATTTTTGTGGTATTGTCTTTGCTTTTAAATACCTAGTTAGCTTGTGATTTAAGCAAACAAGTGATTTTTAATATTATCCACAGATCTCATAACTAGAAGTAACCACTCCTAAATGGCACTGTCAAGATATTAACTTTTTTATCAGCATTGTTATAAATGCTCACTTTGAGATATAAGCAGTACCATCTATGCAGCTTATTAGGACCAGTCAATTAATTTTATTAGGATCAGTATTCATTCCCAATTACATGTACCAAGACTGCCTTTGTAAAGGATGTTAAGTACTGCTTGCCTGCAAGTCAGTTTCTAATTCTTGCTTCTTCAGAGTAAAGCCCACAGGAGTTCTGTTTTCTTTTCTGTACACTGCACAGCAGCTACAGTCACTTACTTGCTTTATCAACTTGTTCTTAATTAAGAAGCTCTAGTCCATGCTGCCCAGGCTGGACCTTCAGTATCTTATACAAACTCGTGTGAGGCACAGTTTGGGACATAGATACTGCAACTGACTGGGCTGAGAATTGAATGAGATGCTGTCAATGTGGAGACCTATAATGCCAACCCTCAATTTTCATCTCATATGCCCGTTCTCTGCTTACATATGCAGTCATTTTTATCATAAACAAAGTTCTTTATTCTATTCAGTACCTGATCTGTGTTCAGATACCTGGACATGGCCAAAATGCCCGGACCAGGTTTTACAGGATGGCAATTGCTGGCCTCTAGCTTAGTTACAGCAAATGTAGCCTGCTTTGGGGATGATAGACAAGCAAATAAGCTTGGCCATGTTCGTTTTATTATTGAAATTTGAAATAAAATTTCTAGGATTGAACTTGCTCATCTAAGATTATATCAAAGAAATTTAAATTTTATTTTTGTACTGTCAACCGGGGCTACTCGGGACTGGCGGGGTAACTCGAGACAGTCCTCTGACACGGCATAAAACTCTTTTAGTAGCAAAACTAATTGGAGTATTGCAAAACTAAATATAGTGGCATAAATGTCAACATTTTTCCTATCTATGAAGTATAAAGGAAGTCAAAAAATACTACATTTACTAGCTTTGAAAAATTCCTGAAAAAATGGTGAAAAATGCTATTTTGAAAAGTTACTTCTGCTATGGTCTGTAGTAAAAAAATATTTGCCATATTAAAAAATGTTACTTACATAAAAGTTGCACCCAGGTATTGGCTTGAAAACTTCATTTGCAGAATTTACATACGGTACCTCAATCCAAAAAAATTGCAGCCATTTCCGCACGGTGGGGCTACTTGGGACACCTTCCCAGGGCTATTAGGGACACCCCCAAAAACGCATTTACAGTAGAACCTCAGTAAGCAAAGGCTCCAGTTAAGAAAAAAAATTGATTAAAAACAAAGATATTGATTACATTTACCTTGCTTGGCAAAAAAAATTTCACTTATCGAAAAACTAGTGCATCATCGGTCATCACGAAATTGTGCATAGTATGTCATATATAGAATTGTGCACCAGGCATCATAGAATGAAAAGTAATTGACCTAAACTATGATTTATTTCTGCAAAACATATGATGGTTGTCACTAAAACATTCCTTTCTGTTTCAGGTCTGTTTTTCACAATCTTTTTAATAGTAAATTCACTTAACCCAATTAAAATGGTGTGAGATTACAAGCTGCCCTGTAAGCTTACAGATACAGAAAAAATGCTATAACTGCAGGGTTGGCGATTTTTTTGATTTTTAAAAAAAAATCAAAAATCAATGATTTTTTTTATTTTTTCATGATTTTTTTTCATTTTTTGATTTTATTTTATTTTTTCAACTTTTTTGTCTTTTTTGAAGTGTTATATTTTCTGTTGCAATTAGCCTACTAACAATTACAGTAGGTATATGGATCATAATGGATGGCTAAAAAGGGCACTTATTGCCTTCAATAATGGCCAACAGGCCAAGGTGGTGTTTACCACTTAGCAATTTTTGGGTAAACAATTATTGATTAGTCTATTCATTAGCTTTGTAAATTTTGTATGGAGCAAGGTAATGAGCTAAATATTGACCATTTAACTGGCTTCAATATACAAAAACACTTCAGGAATGCAGATCTGCTAAATGTTGAAGAGTCACATAACAGATAGGTAGCTGATAGCATAGTGCACAGCACTATCAACAGATCTACTACTAGATTTATGTCCTATAAATCTACCAGACTCTACCCTCTATACACACCGACTAGTAGTGACTGAGTGACTGATTGCATTGTTCCCATTTAATTCGGACCAATAAACCAATACTAAACATAAACTGAATGATAACCAAACAAACCTCATACGACTTGAAACGAGACTTGAGTTATGAGAAAATCTAACACTGTTTGAAATAAACATGTGCACAATTCAAATATTTTATATCCATTCACTGCATTTAATTATTTTATATATAGTTATGAGAAAAGCTAACACTGTTTGAAATAAACATGTGCACAATTCAAATATTTTATATCCATTCACTGCATTTAATTATTTTATAGGTATAGTCCTATAATTGTATATGTTTCGTTTCTAGTATTAAATTCACATATTTAAAGATTGAAATTAAATATTTTAATTAGAATAGGTACTCGTATTGGGGTGGAAAATCTTTCTAATTGCCTAAAAGGTCAATACAATCTCAACCTCTCAATATACAGGGTGGGGCAGATCCGATTGAGCAGTTTTGAGGTAAAATAAAAGAGTAATGGAGGTACATAAAGAAGAAAGTTTATTTTCCTAGAGGTTGGCCTAACATACCCTTTAGAATACTTATGTTTTGAACACTATATCTGGAAGATGGGGGCCGTTAGCTGCAATACACTGTTGGGGTCGTTCTCAGAGGAGGGTGTAACCGTGACAGTGAATTCCGATTGCTATGCTGTAATGTTGCAAAATTTATTGCAGCCCATGATGGAAAACATAGTTGAAAATGAAGCATTCGGAGACGTGTGGTTCCAGCAGGATGGGGCTACAGCTCACACAGCCCGAATGTCACTCAATGTTTTGAAACGCATGTTCCCAGACACTGAGGGGTAATTTACAGTGGCCTGTGAGGTCACCTGATTTGAGCATTTGCGATTTCTTTCTTCGGGGACATCTAAAAGGAAGGGGTTCAGAAGTTGCCCTCACACCCTACCACAGCTAAGGGAATGGATTATTGCAGCAGAGGTTATGGCCATACCTTGCCATATGTGTGAACGTGCTGAAGAAAACTTGTGAGAACAACTCCCAACAGTGTGATGCAGCTAACAAACCCCATCTTCCTGATATTGTTTCCAAAACATAAGTATTTTAACACGTTTTTCTTAGCTTAGCTTCGCGTTTGTTGGTTTGTTGTTAACATTGACAACAAAAATTAGCCCACTTGTGATTGCTCTAGAGATCTGAAATTCGGCATGCAGGCTATTTTTGCCTAACAATTTCAGATACAATCATAAAAACTAGCAATTAGAGACCTAAATTAGCCTTATTGAGTAAAGTATATATAAATAGTATATACCTATATAGTATGATGTGCGGGCGCTGACTTTATAGACGAGCAGGTGCTTACGCTGCGTATCATCAATGCGTACGTCAAAGCAAGTAAATTGGCTCGCAACAACGTTTTTCATGTGCAGCAATGGACTAAAAAGGAGAAAATAAAATACTTAAAAAAAAACTTTTCAAAAAACCACGTTTTTCTTGTAGACTAAAAAGTTGAAAATAAATTGTGGCTCGCCCCAAAAAACGTGGGTCGGGCTGTATGTTCACCATATGTTCAATCAGTTCTGCCCCACCCTGTATAAGCTAGCTAACACATTTAAATTGTATATTGTAATCAATATATAACAAATAGTCAAATAGTTAAAAGACTACTTTTAGCCTTATAAGAATTAGCTAAGCTGCTAGCTACTTACAATGTATTGCACACTTGATGCCTCAGTACCAAAAACATTCAATTTATTGGAACTTAATACACACTAAAGGCAACAAGTTTATATACCAATTTGCCATTCATAGGACATTTTTTCTAAACCATGAATAACAATACCTCAATATAAATTAAAGACTGCCACTCAATATATTGAAATATATGAACAAATCAAAAAAATAAAAAAAATCATAATTTTTTTATAAAAAAATCAAGTGATTTAATCACATGATTTAATCATTTTGATTTAATCATTGCCAACCCTGGCTATAAGGCTGCTGATATAAAGCTTGCAGTGGACAAGGTTGTTGTAAATGCTCAATGGCATGTTCGTGGATACGGTAATATCGCATCAATAATACGGTAATCAATGTACGGTATATGGTAATATATCAATAAAGGAAAAACGAGTAAAAATCACAGGAAATGTCATTTATTCTACCTCTACATCATCTAGAATGAAAGAGGAGGACTTCAGAGTACTGTTAGTAATGGATGAGTACACTCTGCATGCTTCAAATATTTTAAAATGAAGTTTTATTCCAAGTGTCCCGAGTAGCCCCGTTCGACAGGGCTACTCGGGACACTCTTTTTTTGCTTCTGGCACCTTACAAATAGCATATGGAATTTTTTTGAAGATGCCATTCGATAGCCCTTGCAAAGAGCTATAAAATGAGCCTAAACCTGTTTATGAAATGTTTCATGGTAAGAAGTTATTAACAAAAAACGCCCAAAACCGTCCTGAGTACCCCCGGTTGACGGTACCAGCAGCTATTTGACTGGTGTCTTGTAAAGATACAGACTTGTTTTAATGTATACATTTAATGTTGCATCAACCTTCAGCATTATAATTTTTGTCTTTTTCAAGATGTCATCTGATAAGGGAACCAGTCCTTTATCTACTAAATCCTCTAAAGTCAAAATATGTCACAATTATCAACATGGAAGCCAAATTGTGCGTGCTGTCCTATGTAGCAAAAATGAAATTCATGCTGCCATATTTGTCAAGGTGAGTGAAGTAAGGAATAAAATGTCAAGTCTGAGTCTAGCTTGATCATTTCAACTTGGTATATTATTTCTAATAAATAAAAGTGCTAAATTAATAGATGTTGATTGGAATTCTATTAATTTTTTTCAATATTGCTAATTTCTGGAAAAGTTTTGGAGTTTATTGCAGTAGAGCAGTTCTTTTCAGTGTATATATGCAACAAAAGTTGCTGAGTTAGTGTCTTCTGTATTTCTCCTATCAGTCATGGGATGTCCTTATGACTGCATCAAGGTGGCATGAAGTTTGTTGAAAAAATTAATCCATGTTATCTAAACAATTAGTTACATGTGTGATGTTGATTGATTGATTTTAATTCTTGAATACACAAAGGATTTTTGATAGATGTATGTTATGAAAGTAATATTTACAAGACTAAGATTAGAAACCCTCTTCCTCATACGTAATTTGTATGCTTTATATAGTATTAAATATGGTTTGTTTTCTTTTCTAGTTGAGCTGTGTCCATTTTGCCCATGCCTGTAATGAAGATGGCATTACAGCTTTACATATTGCAGCTGCCAAAGGATGGAATAAGGTAAGCAAATTATTATGAATTACGAGATTAATATCTTATATTTTTTCTCTTTTAACTTTTATTTGAAGCTTTTTCATCAGAGAAGTACCAATAAGTCAATCTATGCTTTGAAAAAAAATGTATCCTTAGTATTCTATGCAAAACATGCCTACTACTAAGTACTAAAATATACTAAGTACTAAACCATTAAAAATTTATTCATTTACAGTATACTGAAAATAATTATTAAAAAATCATTAAGTGATATGCTGAAAATCATTAGTAATTTCAGTATTTCCCTCTGTCAACATAAGTTTTAATTAAATTGTTATTGTTAAAAAAACCTTGGTTATGAAACATAGACATTACCCAGAAATTCATATTTATATATAGTACCGGTAGTATACTTGAATGAAATATTCACTTGATTGGGCAAAATCAGAATAACAATATTCTTGTTTAACTCTTTCTTGAGCTAGCAAAGAAATATGCATTAAACTGGCATTTCTGAAGCCACTACAAGAAATTATGGACAATTATGAAATGAAATAACTAATATGGTATGCATTTTTCAAAAATTTTGCACAATGTTGGAGTAAATTGCAAATGAAAATTCTATAAAAACTGGTCAATATAGTACTACAATAAATTGAAATTTTTAAAAGTTAATAAGTCATACGGGAGGACAAACCAGAGGACAAGCTGGGCTCTTTTGGGAGAAGATTTTAAGTGATCATGTTTGGTAACTTGACCACTAAAGTGTTACATTGTAGAGGTTGATTATTATCCCATTACACTTAAAATGGAATTTTTCCAAACAAACACTGAATTTACTGTATGAACCTGCAAGCAAAAGTGTCAGCAACAATTTTTAACAAACAATCCACGATTGAGTATAATCATTTCAACACACACTTGGTAGCACCATCATGCCTAAGTCCCAGTTGAGAAGAAGATGGTTAAATTGACTCAACAGTAGTGATATGAACAAGTAAACTTGAAAAGCTGATTACAGATATGATTGAAAATATGATTGAAAATCATATTCCTGACGCATCAATAATCAGATATGATTGAAAAGCTGATTACAGAAAAAAAGCTGATTACAGACTGCTTGCATGATAAGTTTTATTATTGCAAACTTTTGTTATTCCTGCTTTGAAATTCGGAATTTCTGTTCCTAAAAAATGTTTTCACCTATGAATACAGTGAAAAGAAAAGAAAATATGTCTGATATTAAAAATTCTAATACTAAACTGTTAATTTTTTAGATGTAAGTTGAATAATTCACTGGTTTTTCATAGATGGATTCAAATTCACTCAATAAATATCAAGGAAGCCAAGTGCAAGTCCTGTAGTTTTCAAAATATTAGTGATATTTATTTTATTAGACTAATTGTTACAGCTCTAATGAGTGCACAATACTGCAGATGTGTCGATGGCTGCTGCGCCATGGAGCCGACATTGATGCCAGGGATCAGGTCACTGGGTTCACCCCCCTGCACTTTGCAGCCATGTATGGCTGTGTTGAGACTATGATGCTTCTTGCAAAGGTACTCTATTACTCATTGAAGCACAAAATGTGCAGTTGTATAACATTATTTCATTTCAAAATGTCTATTTTTTTATTTTGAATTTCTTTCCAAACTCTGTGGTACTGCAATTTTACAAGTGCCATGAAATGCTTAATTTATATTATTAACCCTTTAGCGGGCAAGCATTGAAATATCCAGAAATTAAAATTTCAGAAACCATTTCAAGAAAGTAAGAAGTATTATACAATATATTTATTTCTATGAATTTTTGCAAATTTTGCCTATTGAAGGTTTAAATCGCACTTGAAGAATTCAATAAATGCGATCAGTACACAAAATTTTTCTTTATAATTAAATTTCAGTTTATGCAAACGAAAAATTAGAAAAGTAAACATTTAATTTAATTAAATTTAATCAAGTTGCCAAAATAAATAAATATATATATATTGCTACTTCCACCTTTTGAAGACAATGCGGAAAGATCGTCAGTTCCATTGTCCGAGTCAAAACCTGGTGACTCGGCAACCCTCGGCAGCTGGTGATGCTATAGATAGAACGATGGTCAGATAATTAGTGATTGACTGAGGCATTATAAGGATGCCTCAAAAACAAACAGGAAGCCGTGGTGAGGCTTTTTGTGACGCGATTTCAAGTGATCATATATGGTAACTTACCCGTGAAAGGGTTAAGTTCCTAGTTTCTTCAAGTACATTATTCCTTGAAGACTTTAGTTTTAATTGAACTCCTTAATGATTGATTTCTTCATTTAATTCTGGCATGCAAGTGGTAATAAAGTTTTCTATGATACTAGTAGCACTAAAATACTTAATGAATTATGTTCTATTTAATAAAAAAGGTTTGTTATTGGTTTTTATTGCTTCTTTGTATTTTATGCAGATATGATTTTCCAGCATTACCGGTACATAATTTTTATCTATGAAAATATGTGCTTTAGTTTGAAGCCTGGTAACTTGAATGTACTGGGCTGTTTGTGTGCATATTTACAATCAAATTAATTAGTTACAGAGGAAGAGATTTTGTAATTGAGGGTGAGAGGATTCAGGATAACAGGATTCAATGTGATAACAGGGTTATTTGTGATGATGCAATTACACGAGTTCTAAATCATACAGATTATATTTTAGAAGAAATGCTGGGTTGAGCATCTTGGATTTTTAAATTTTTTAGCTGCTCAGAATGTCAAGGATAATGACATAATGATTCCCTTAGTATAACATTCTGAAAATTACCTATTTAATTCAATGTGTTTTCTTATGGATGGTGTGCAAACTGTTGTTTTTGGTACATGATTATTGGCATGCAGCCAATTATTTTTACATTAGAGCTGCCTCACTTTTATTCACTAGTAATGGAACTAAGATTAAGTTGTGAATTTGTCTCTGCAGGCTGGGGGAAGCTATCGAAGTTTGTCAGATTCAAAAAAAGATGCAATGAGCTTGCTGTATGAAAACTACAGGATTTTTGGCAAAGACAGACTCCATAGTGCATCTTATGTCTATGATCTATACTTTACTCACTTCACATCTCTGGCTAAACTAAAATTGGGTAAGTGATGCTGTATGATGCTTTTGGGGCATGAACTATATTTAAAATCAAATAGATTTATACGAGGTATTTATGTTCCTTATGATCTGCTTTTTGCTTCTAACTATTGTGACTAAATATTTATATAATATTATAAATACCTATGTAAATAATGAAATACATGTGTATATATGTAATGAAGTATCTATTCTCAATAATACAACTAAAATTGTGAATTAGCTTGAAGTGCTCTGCATTACAGGCAAGCTACAACTGCTGTGTGATGAGCAAGGGAAGGATAAGCGAGCTGTGTTTAGTGTCCAGATGAACTGTGCCAACCCTTCCAACGTTGAACCATATTTGATTAGTGAAGGCGACAGCAGTGATGATTGTCACAGCACTGATGAAGAGGTGCAGTATATTATTTAACTTATTCAATCATTGTTAGTAATCTTTGTGAGTTGAGGCTATTGGTACTCTGACAATGTTGAGAACAGATTTGTGAACTGTTAAATAAATTAATCACATGAGCACAGGATCTCCTAATTCCTTTTGCAAAGTAACGCCATTATTAATGAAATAGTAACAATTTTTGACACTATTTGCAATAACATACCTATATTAATTAGGGTTACTAAAATAGCTATTTATTAGTGATTAAGTTTCTGCCATTCGGAAATAAAATGTTGATGATTTTCAAAATAGATTCAAAATATCTTCAATCTCAAAATTATTTTCCTTCTCTATTGGGCACATAATTTCGTGAATGAAACTTACCTTTTAGTCTATTGGACTGCATCAAGAGGGGGTATTTCTATTTTTAAAATGCATTAATTTTTTACCATATGGTATTTCCCCATACAAGTTGTCTTGATAAAAAAACTGTTATCATTATTCACAGGACATTCCTGCAGCTGCTGTCTTTGATTTTCCTCCAACAAAAGAGAGGCCCATGGATGACGTATCTTCACTTTATGTCTTCGGACAAAATCAGAACTACAACTTGGGACTCGTAAGTGAGACGCTTAGCCTCTACAGTGTTGTCTACCCTTGTCAATGCTGCCTACCCTTGTCAATGCTGCCTACCCTTTTCAATGCTGCCTACCCTTGTCAATGCTGCCTACCCTTTTCAATGCTGCCTACCCTTGTCAATGCTGCCTACCCTTTTCAATGCTGCCTACCCTTGTCAATGCTGCCTACCCTTTTCAATGCTGCCTACCCTTGTCAATGCTGCCTACCCTTTTCAATGCTGCCTACCCTTGTCAATGCTGCCTACCCTTTTCAATGCTGCCTACCCTTGTCAATGCTGCCTACCCTTTTCAATGCTGCCTACCCTTTTCAATGCTGCTTATTCTTTTCAATGCTGCTTATCCTTTTCAATGCTGCTTATCCTTTTCGATGCTGCTTATCAATCACAATGCTACTTATCCTTTTTTATGGTGCTGCCTATCCTTTACAATGCTGCTCATCTTTTACAGCGTCACCTGTTTTTTTACAATGTTGCTTATCCTTCACGGTGTTATTGGTCCATTGTGAGATCGTTGACCAGCAACAAAGCAACCGTTCGAGTATCTAGTGCTGTAAGCTTAGTAATTGTTAATCAAAAGATTCCTTCTGCTATGTTAGAGGTAATTTTATGTGATGGCATGAGATCATCAGATGGGTGGTTAAATTAATACTGATTTATTGTCCTACATTTCCGACTGACTCAATGGTAAATATATGAACGAAATGGTAACCTCTTGGTTTTATTTCAATATGAAGGAAAAATAAGTGGTAATCACAATAACTATGAGGCATTGTTGACAAGTTTTGAAGTTTTCAAATGAAGTTTGTATGTTGAAATGAAAATCTGTTTTCTTTTTTGGTACCTTGTGGGGCAATCAAAAATATATATTTATAATACTTATTTTTTATTAAACGGTAATCATGTAAATGAAGTTGCTCATTCAAATTACAAGAAAAGAATGCTTGTCCATTCTGGATATTATTGAACTTTAAAAATGTACCTATAAACATTTAGAAAATATCAAATATTTTAAAGTAATTATGGTTGTTTTTTTCCTGTAAATTATTAGTTTGAAAATATAATTGATGTGTAAATTATTAGTTTGAATATATAATATTTACCTAATATATACTCGTATATTCTTATAATATATACTCGTATATTATATATATATAAGGAATTGATACTGACGACAAGCTTTATACCAGGGCACGACTAGAGTGGTCTCACGACCCACGCAGCTGGAGCGGTTCACGCGGGACCAGGCGGTGTGCGAGGTGCGGTTCAGCAGGTACCACACGCTGTACCTCACCGCTGCTGGTACCGTCAGGGCGTCGGGACATGGCGTCGGTGGCAGGTATCTCGTTGCTCTGTTTCATTCCGAGTATAAAGTGTATTTCCTTTGGTATATTCCACTATTTCTATGTTCATCGATAGCTACTCATTCCATGTTGTTCAACAATACGAATTAAAACATCGGAACTTTTATGTGGCAAATGATTTTTGGGATTACAGGATGCATATATTATGGAATACAACTAAGTTTTTTTTTCAAATAATACGAAAAAATACAAGATAAATAAAATATATTATATTAATATGAAATAAATATTATAATAATATAAGAAGATAATTCATGATGAGGTTCGTTGTAATATAACTAAGTATTTTTTTCAATTGTTAGAAGATAATTTATGATGAGGTTGGTTGTAACATAACTAAGTATTTTTTTCAATTACTTCATGATGAGGTTGGTTGTAACATAACTAAGTATTTTTTTCAATTACGAGAAGATAATTTATGATGAGGTTGGTTGTAACATAACTAAGTATTTTTTTCAATTACTTCATGATGAGGTTGGTTGTAACATAACTAAGTATTTTTTTCAATTACGAGAAGATAATTCATGACGAGGTTGGTTGACAGGCTCGGCACGGGCACTGAGGCGACATGCATGAGGCCAGAGGTGGTGGCGTTGCCCAGTGGCACGAAGGTCATCATGGTCGCTGCTGCCACCGACCACTCCCTCTTCCTCACCTCCACTGGCCACGTAATGCTCGCTTTTTCTCTATATTTGTAAAAATTAATGATGGTTTCATAGGCAAGCCTTAACTTACTCCTGCATTCGTGTTTGAACAGTTTTCTCCCTCAGATTCTTTTCAAGCAACAAAAGTTATTCAGGAAATCCTCCAAGCCTAATTATAATCTAACAACGGTATAGAAGTGCGTGTTACTAACCTAGTATTGAGTACAAGTCTGCCTGGAGAATAACAACGGTATAGAAGCGTGTTACTAACCTAGTATTGAGTGCAAGACTGACAGGAGAATATAACAATGGTATAGAAGCGTGTTACTAACCAAGTATTGAGTGAAAGACTGACAGGAGAATATAACAACGGTATAGAAGCGTGTTACTAACCAAATATTGAGTGAAAGACTGACAGGAGAATATAACAACGGTATAGAAGACATGTTGTTGACACTAAGAGCTACACTTAAGTTTTGTGTGATGCCGGCTGGCTATTGTGTTACTGAAGTATTTGTGTTCCTGAGTTGTTACAATCGCTGCAACGCTATTGCTCGTGCATACGAGTTATACTGAGTGTAATCAGTCGCCTGTGGACCGAGTGATTACTCTGGTTGCTGTCTTTCAGGTGTAAGCTCTGAACATTTACTTCTCTATCGCTGGGGTATGACCGAACACTAAACACCTACCACTCTGTTGCAGGTGTATGGCTGTGGACTGAACACCTACCACCAGCTTGGAGTGGACACTAAGATCGCGTCCAAGTGTGTCACCCCGAAGATGATAGCCTGGGACCCCGCATCTGCTAAACCCGCTCCGTAGGTGTCGCCCTATTGGCCCTTTTCTCAAATATTTCTTGTTAGACATGTCATGGCTGCAGCAATTTTAATAACACTTGGACCTGTTGTTGTTCGTTACGACGAAACTCGGGCAGACCGAGGGGGCGGGATGCGGAAGGGCGACCATGAAAGTTGAGGTGAGCAAATGATGGAGAAAGGCTAGGAAAACTGTAGCCTGGAGATGACGGTCCCACAGTGAGGAGACTTGTGGGGTCCTTAGGGAAAGAAGGGCTGGAGAAGAGGTTCTCGGTGAAGTGCAGGTGATCCCTGCAATCGGGACTAGCCGCGCTTTGGGTGTGCCTTACGCTCTACCAGGCACACTTTGAGCTCGTCATGACCGCTCACTTGTGCAACACTTGGCGTGTCTTTTACACGTGTATGTAGCAGGTGCCATCAAACACAGTTAAATTGTTTAACTATTTAGTATTTATAAGAACAGTGACATTATTAAGTCATAAAAATTTCGGTATTCTAATGATGAAGGAAAAATCGAGAAAATTTTAAAAAATATACATTTTCGTGTCTCATGACCTCACTTTAATACAGCAAGTACCAAGGTGTGCAGGGCGTGGCCTGCGCCAGGTACCACATTCATTAGTCCCGTCCCCGCAGGAGTGGCAGCAAGTACCAAGGTGTACAGGGCGTGGCCTGCGCCAGGTACCACTCGGTGCTGTGGACGACGTGCGAGTTGTACACGTGGGGCACGAACGTCGGCCAGCTCGGTCACCTCGACCACGTCGTACCCACGCCCAGGCTCGTCAAGTCCTGTTCCTCCCTCAACAAGACCTCGGGCATTTACAAGGTGCCTTCTGCAGGTTTAGCTTCCTATACACAAGTATTCTCATAAAATTATATGTTGTAAGTTCTTTAGCAGCTTCTTGAACCAATGCTGACTTTGAGTATCTCGATTTTTCAGAAAATTATATTTCTTTGATATTGGTATTTAAACTTTTATCACCTGATCTTTCTGCGCTTGCATATAAAACAGATTTTGTGATTTAAATACTTGAAAAAATTCGGAAATTTGAGTTTTTCCCCTTTAATAAAGTGAGATGGAATGAATACCATTCTATCATAAGCTACGCAAATAACAGTGAGAAATTAAATGGATGTTCATTTCATGAACTATAGCATTATTAATATTTATATTTGGTCAGGTGTGCGTGAGCAACGTGTGCACGGTGGTGGCGATGCTCGAAGGCTTCCTCATAGTCTTCTACGGGAACAAATACTCGATCATCTCCAGCCGCTTGTCACGCGGCGTGGAGGCAATCCTGAGCATATCGTGTATGGGAGGAGTGCTGAGTAATGTAGCTAAGAACCCCATGTTTGCCGCACACAACCACACCAGTCACATCAAGCCTGGCATGGATGAGCAACTTGTCATCAGTGAATCATCTGAAATTATCAACGGACTTTTGCCAGAGAAACTCAGCTCTAAGTCTTTGTTATCGCAAGTGGAATGCAACGAAGACGATCTTGTGATTTTCTACTTGACAGCCGGCAATTTGGGGTACTTGTGGTCAGCTCAACGCCAGTCGTCGCGCCCGATGTGTTTAGAGAGATACAAGATAGTTGACATCTTCGCCACGCCTTCTGCCTTGCTCGCAATCTCTCACACCGGTGAACTCCTCAGAATGAAGGTTTATGCAAACCAAGAGCGTAATTCTAACCTTACGGTCACGTGGTGTGTACTCGCACATCTACACAGAACCAAGAGAATTTTTGCTGATCCTAACGGACAAAATTTCGCCGTGTTGTGTCAAGACGCCTTCCCTAAACTATTTCTGGACGACGAATGGTGCCAGTCGCTGGTCAATGATATGACGTCGCTGCATACTACGTTGTCCTTGGAAGAGTCCTTTTGTGACGTCATTCTCGAATGCGATGGCGAAAAGTTTCCAGTGCACAAAATGGTCCTTGCGGCAAAGTCCTTATTTTTCAGGAAGCTTTTTTCGCCTTCGAGCGCCAATCAAGAAGAGCTCTCAGTTCCTGAAAATGGTCATCATGTGCAAGGCCGATGCGATTGTGGGCTTTCTCGCGGCTTTTATCATCATATCAATGAAGAAACGAAAGAATCTACTGCCTGTTATTCAACTGAAGATGACACATTTAACTTTAGCTCTTTTGGGAAGAATGCACCTGATGCTTCCTTCAAGCAGGAGCCTAGTCCCACTGGAGAAAGCTTCACGCCTGATGGAGAAGTTCCCTCTGTGGACCTGACTTCTCTTGTAACTAAAGATGCTCTTCGCGAACTCATCTCGTTCTTCTATACGGGCAAATGCAAACGCGTCAGCTACCATGACATTTGCTCTAACGCCGGGAACTCCGAGCGTCACCTTATCGAAACGTCGAAACATAAGAAAAAACGAAATACTATACGATACACGTGGATATATGAAGACGAAGAGTCCATTGAAAAACACGAGAAATTTTCCTCGACCAAGGAATTGCAGCAGTACGTCGCACTCCTCCTGAAGGCCACAAAGGAACTGGAAGTGGAGGATTTCCCCGCAGACTGCAAGGAGGAATGCGACCTAAAGCTGTGAGTAGATGATCACAGCAGAGCTTCCTTTACCTAGCATGACTATTGAACTTAGCTTACAATTCATCATTATCATTATTGCAACTCATAAACGTTATCATTAGTTCAGCCCACATATGTCATTACAAGTTCCACCTCTCCGTCAAAACTTGACGATTGCTCCGCGTTGAACTACCACCCCGCCATCACCCTAGTTCCACACAAACTTTAGCTCCATTGCGTCATCAACGCTTGTAGACCTCGCTATGAGATTTCACCGAATCATCACCACCAGTTCCATCCCATCCCATCAACACGCCCTCACGACCGTCCCTTCCTCACGCCCTCACAACCCCCCCCACTCAGCCCACGGTACACCGCAGGTACCTGACCGTGGACGTCTCCCCCGACGTGCAGTTCACGGCAGAGGACGGCTCGCTGGGGCCACGGGCGCATCGCTTCATCCTGAGCGCGCGCGTGCCCTTCTTCTCTGCGCTCTTCTCTGCTCGCTGGGCCCTGGTCTGTTCTTAAACTTGACACTTGCTTGCGTCAAAACCCTTCAACTAAAAAAAAACTAGACTGAATTTATCATATATGTTTACATCAATATCTGGAAACGTTATAAAACAGCCCATTGAGTAGATGCATTTCATCTCCTCTGCTCGCTGGGCCCAGGTTTGTTCATAAACTTGGCATTTGCTTGCATCAAAATACTCCAACTATGAAAAAGCTAGGCCTGAATTTTTCATGTATATTCACATCATTTTCTGGAAACGTTATAAAACAGCCGATTGAGTATGTGCAATTCATGTTCTCTGCATGCTGGACCCAATATTATTTAAAAAATTGATTTATTTTTTGGATGAAGACCATACGTACGTACGTCTAATTTGGATGAAGACCATACGTACGTACGTCTAGACCATACGTACGTACGTAACGTCTGAGCCATACGTACATAGGTTACGTCTTGTTTATCTATATTCAAGGTTTATTCATGTTTTAACCCTCTACCGCCTGACATGAGTAATCGGAGCAATATTGTCACAAGCCTATCCAAAAAGGATACGTTCTAGTGAACGCAAAATGACTTGCACTGATGGTTGCCGCCACGTACGACAACTTTAAAATGTTCTCTGTTGCGTACAAACGTCCTTAAGTTGCTACACTCAATAGTTTACGTATAATTTAAGTTGAAAGTTATGTTCCCGGAGAAAGACATACGGCGGTAGAGGGTTAAAACAGAGTTGCCAAATGTATAGTGAGGCCAACCGGGGATCCACAATGCTTGGGGATTTTACCTCGGTCTGACATATTTTTAGCGGTACGATTATGAGATATTACAAAAACGAGGAGGGAAAGCAAATTTCATTTTTTTTCTAGATTTTAGTGGTTATATTGAGAAAAGATTTCCTTCAATCTAAGAAATGGAAGTCGTTGGAGTTTTATGTTAAATGTTGTTTTTAGCAGGCTTTTCTCTCATTAAGAGACCTGTTTAAAAAAAGCTATGGAATTTGGCATGACGAGATTCTCGGAGCTCGGCAAATATCTTTCCCAGCAGCCTTTGGTTGAGTGGCTCGCTGCTTCTGTACGGCTCTAAACTGGATGCTGATATCCGCTCAGTTAATTGCAGACGGAAATCAAGTTTTATACGAATTTATTCAAAAAAAAATTCCTATTAGTCAGCAAGAAATGTGGCGTAAAGTTTAAATTCCAAGATAGTCTATACTACCTTAATAGTAGTATTTAATCTTTTCTGAAATGGTAAAGGGAGTAAAGATGATGTTTTAGGTATATATATTTTTTTTGTTGATCTCCAATGCGCAGAATGCGTGCACCGCAGATGGCCTACAGTTGGTGCAGTCTCCTCACTGCCACAGCACTGCCTTCCTACTGCTGCTGCAGTATTGCTACACCGACCACTTCTGCTACTGCTGCCTTACGCTGCCACTCGTAAGCTCACTGATTTCTCTTATCCTCTACGTATTCCTACTGAAATAAAACAATTTTCACGAGACAGCGATGCTTGCACGCACAGTTTGCGCTCATGAGGCTCAGGTTCTGTTTCTGGTTTTGTTAGATGCTCTGAAGGCGACACCAGCGTGGCCGTGGGCGAAACGAAGAAATTTCATCACATGATGAAATTAATTGGTTCTATTCAAGCATTTTCTGTATTATGTTTGAGCTGATATTCTTATTTATTCTATTATTGTCTTAACTATTCGTGCATGGTAATGACTTAACTTCTATTATAATATTTCATTGGGTTTAATAGGGTATAGATTTAGCCGTTCACTTCTTAACTTTCTCAACCTTCCTATTTCAAGTATCTGGCCAGCAGATTATAACGGTAGCACGTAATGTAATTCTTGTTCGCATTTAATCCATTGATATTCATGACAGGTCATGGATTTGCTGGTACTAACAGACGAACTATTGGCTAAGGATGCCCAGGAGCTGGCAGAGAAACGTGCCGTGGATTATATTGACCGACGCAACCTGCTGCTTCTTTACCAGTTCTCTACGCGCTACAACTTCACGATCCTGAAGCAACACGTCCTCTTTTTCGCTTACTTTGAGACTCCCTTCTTGCTTGAGTCCAGGTAAAATAACTTCCCTTGTAACTTGAGTATTTGTCAAGATTTTTAGGCATCTCAATAAGTTTTTCAATGCGTCGAGACAAATATTGATCTTGAGAGTACTTTTATCTCGCTAATAGGATTTTCGTTCGAATTTTTCAAATCTGGAAAAGTGTTGATAATTATATAGGGAACTTTGCGATAAAAATCACTGACGAATTAAATGTGGTTATTTTGCAAGTGACTAACTCAGCAACAAAACAAAGCTTATTAATTTCAACCCTCTCAGATATCTGGACATCAAGAAGAGCCGCTATCTAGCTAGCAGACTCAGCCATCAGAAAACATATTTAGAGAATTCAATTCACATTAGAAAGCAGACTAACACACTCAATTACTAGAATTCCGATTTCGATCGTGTCTTGAAAATATTACTAGAATTCCAGTTTCGAATGTGTCTAGAAAATAGCATCACCTTCATTATTATCATCGTTCGTTGAGAACACTCGTCAGGTTCATCATCACCACACTACACGCTCACTCTTAACGCCCTAAACTCCATTTCGGATTTCACATTCCAAGATGATCGATGTCAATCAACTCAGAACTAACTCTGGTAATCTGGTATGCATCTCACGACATTATTACTCGGGGTGTAGCCATCATCTCCCCACTCTCTGACCATCTACACCATTCAAAACATTGTACTTGGAATCTCTCGTGACAACACGCGAACGACACGTTCACAGCACACTCAAAGACGAACAAAATTACTCCTCGTAACAGAACACAAAATGTGAATACACCCAAGATTGCGCTTTTGTATTACATAACCCTCTAAATACTTACTATTGCTTCAAAACCTCGCTCGTACTCTCAGGCAAAAAGTTGATGTTTCGCAGACAGTTCTTCGCACACTTAACACACGGCACACCACAAGCCCGGCACATCCCACAAATTGTGTCCACACAAAGCAAACTGTTGTCCCACACTGTGACACAAAAATTCTGTGTGACAAACTTTTGTCTCACAGCCTCTTAGTCAGACGGAACCTTATGTAGAGCAGCGACGGCGGATGAAAATTCTTGATGATGTATGAATAATATTTTTACTTTGGTCAAAAATTTCCATAATGATGCAGTTTTTTTGCACAGGTTCTTCGAGAATTTGCGACCAAAAGATCTCGCCCAGATCAGTGCAATGAACAAGTACAAAGCTAGCGAGAAATATTCGCATGATTGGCAAAAATCAAGAGAATATTACAAGCTTCGAAGGCGATCTTCAGACTTCATCAGCCATCCATTAGTCTACGAATTACCGTGCGTTCCAGATACCTCGAACTCGAACGCCCATTTTGTGTTCTCGGTACCAAAGAGAGATTTTAACAACGGAATTGATCTTTGGGAATATATTTACACGTCGCTGGGATGCTCCTATGATGAACAGTGCGACCAACCACATCATCGTGACGGAGATCCCATGCAGTACCTGGAGAACGAGGAGCCTCAGGTGTTCCTAGAACTCCAGATGTACGAAGAAGAATTGCGTCAGGAACTTGAACGCAAGGACTTCAAGTTTCAAGGTTAGCTTTATTCAAAAATGCATGGGTCATAATTTTATTTTAATCGTATAAGTATGGAAGTCATATTTGAATGTATTTGAATCTCCATTGTTTAGCAGTGTATACAAAATTATTTGACTGCAAAATTATTTCGAACAACGTTTATCGATATATAGGGGTTAGACAAAATAAGGGAAAGAACTAAGAAATCCACAAAATATATTTTAGTATGGTGTAGGTCCACCGTTTGCAAGCCTCAATCCTCCTAGTCCTAGGTATTGATTAATACGAATTGTGAATTGTTTCCAAAGAAATTTTAACCCATTTTTCAGCTAAAACTCCTTCCAGCTCTTTTACAAACGATGACGGCGGGAATCGACTTCTGACTTTCATTTCTAAAATCGACCATAAATGCTAGATAATATTCAGGTCTGGTGATTGTGGTGGCCAAATGAGATGCTCAACTTCATTAGAATGTTCCTCGAGCCATTTTTTAATGATTCCAGCTGTATTGTTCGAGGCATTATCATCAAGATTGAAAGACGGCGTTCCCCTCCGGAAACCGTGCTTGAACCCTTGGATGAACTTGGTCCTCTAAATTCCTAAATAGTCACGGCTGTTATAGAAAAGTCTCTGGCGCCCCAGATTTCCAAGAAATAGCACACCAGATCATCACAGATCCCCCGTCATGTTTTACGGTTGGGAGGAGGCAGTCGGGATTAAATCATAATAAGTCTTTTGGTTGTCTCCAAACGTAAACTCGACCACAGGTTGGAAAAAGTGTAAGCGATGATTCGTCAGAGAAAATCACATTTTTCCACAGCTCGAGGGACCAATTCTGGAGATCTTTACACCACTAACGCTTCGAAGCATTTGCATTTGAAACCAGAGGTAATTGCAGCTCTTTCATAGAATCCAGACCTGTGCCGCTCTCGGCGGACAGTCTTTATGGAAACTGGGTTCTGAAAGTGTCCATTGAGGTCTGCAGTAATTTTAACAGCGAAGGTCTTTTGATTGTCCCTCACAATTCGACTTAGGTAACGACGGTCTCTCTGAGACAACTTCGACTTTCGGCCAGACCTGTGCTTTGCTGAGGACATTTTTCTTCTGTTTCAAAAGCAGTCATTACATCTGAGACAGTAGCTCTAGAAACGTCAAGCATTCGGGAAGTTTCTGTCGCACTAGCACCTGCCATACGGGCACAAACAATTTGGCCTCATTGAAAGTCAGAGAGGTATGAGATCTATAGGTTAGTTTATAGACACAAAAATTATTAAAAAAAAATCTGTGCAAGGATAAAATAATAAGCAGCAACAATAAAGGATAAAACAAAAGTATATCACGTTTTCATTGATGATAACATGTTCAAATTGTCAGGCGTTTCCCTTATTTTGTCCAACCCCTGTATATAGAATTTTTTGTCCATATGCTATGTATCAAGAGTGAAATTCATGTCTCAACGTGGTTAAGTACGTTTGCATTCAATTCGCTATGTATGCAAAATCATTTATTTTGTCTTGCATAAATGGTCGTTATATGGCGCAAATATAATGTCTTTTTTACCAAACTTGCCCAATGTACCTGAGCGAAATTTAATTATTATAGAACTGAATGGTATTAAATTTGTATGCTCAATGCATGCATTTTCTGCCACCAGATCACCCGAGCGTTGCCCGCAAGTGCCACAAGTACCGCTGTGCGCCGCCTCGGAAACTTCGTCGAGGTTCCCGCAGCTCCTCAGAGTCTGACGGCGGCCGAAGCTCCAGCGACGCCAGCGATGAGTTCGACTTCAATGGACTTGTCGATAAAGAAGTTGATGCCTCAGACGGTGCGTGGAAGTTATTGTCATTGATGCATATTGTATTTTTCTGCTGCACTGGATCAATTTATTGTGTATTTTTTTCCACACCGAGACATCGCCGTAGTTCATCGGAGGTATTACTGATATAAAGAATCATTAGCCTGTCAGGCTTATAACTACTTTTTTGAGGATCATCATGTCTGTGATTTCAAATCTTAATTTTATTCTTCAGACGATGAAGACAGCAGCACGTGGCATGTAGTAGCACGACGTAAAGAAGCTGTTTACGATAGCATTCAGCACTCGCAACCTCCGCCACCAACGAACAGCAAAATCGACCAGAAGTGGAAAAACAAAAATTCAACAGCGCCGTCACGTTCCGTCACAGCGAGCAAACCCACTCCAATTGCCAATCCTGCTCCACTTTCTCCACCAGCTGCTGGCCCTTCTTCACTCAGTCAAACTCACCCTTCTCCACTCAGTCAAACTCACCCTTCTCCACTCAGTAATACTCAAAAACTTGCCCCAAAGCAAGATGTCGTTGAAGCTGCTGCTTCTTCGTCTGGAGACCTCAGTGGATTTCAGCCGAGAACTCCAGAGCTTCGCTGCAATTTAGATGGCCAGGCTTGCGTGCTGGGATCGCCAGACACGAGTTCCTCGTCAGTCTCCCCTGCCGGGCCAGACTTTCCTTCCCTGGCGGAGTCCGTGACCGCGGCCAAGCAGCAGCAGCAGGCAGCTAAAGCTGCGAGTGCTAAGTGGGTGCTACAATTAGAACTTCTCGTTTTCAGTTTTTTTTTCTGTCTCTATTTTCTTCAGGTGAATTGTTGTCCTTGTATGGGAGCTAAATAATACTTGATCGATTAGTTCGTCTCTTCTATAGTTGGCATTCATACCATATGTATAAATTATTTTGAATTGGGAAACTCTAACAATTCTTTCTAAAATTGTTCATAACTATTGTAATCGTATAAATGTGATAACATTTGCATTCTATTCTATGGCAGGTTTTTCTTTACATTTTATTTTATTGGGACCAGATTTAACATTTCTGCTGTATCTCGTGCAGAACTTCATCTCCTTTCGTGCGGATGTCGCAGAAGCAGCGCAAACAGCGTCAACGAGAAGAACAGGAAGCGAGCGCGTCTGCTGCTCCTGCAGCTGCCACGCCAGCAGCAGCTGTCAGCCCTAAAACTGCTACTCCTGCCTGGGGTAAGAGCAGCGTTGTAGTTTGGTCCCTGTTGTTGTTGTTACTGCGTTTGGTCACTGTTGTTGTTGTTACAGCGTTTGGTCACTGTTGTTGTTGTTACTGCGTTTGGTCCCTGTTGTTGTTGTTACTGCGTTTGGTCCCTGTTGTTGTTGTTACTGCGTTTGGTCCCTGTTGTTGTTGTTACTGCGTTTGGTCACTGTTGTTGTTTTTATTGTTGTTGTTATTACTGCGGCTGCTATGATACCTCACCGTACCTACCATGATATGGGACGATCATCGATTTTGTTGAAAACGCTGATAAAACATAATTTGCGCCAAATAATTTGCTAGTTTAAAACTAATACGTTTCATTTTGTATCTGTATCTCATTAAATGAATTAAGTTTATAAAGCTTACGCTTGTTTTCGGTACAGGTCAAGCGCAGCTCTCCGCCGGATCACCGCCCTGCTGCTCTGCTCAGGAACAGCAGCAGGAGTCACAGTTCCCGTCCTTTGCAAGGTATCGTCAGCAACAAGTGATTTGATAAATCAAAAATAATGTAAAAATCCGCCCTAACGAAGAATATTTTCCATCAAGATAAACACTGGTAAAAGTCGATTCTTTGCACTTTCGAAAATTAAGGTACTTGCTCTCTGTTGTCAGTTAGCATCCTGATAATATTTACCTTATATGTGGCAATACCACATTACACACATAACCAAATCACTCATCCTTAGACCAAAAAAAGAACGAATGACGTTTATGCTTGGAAACCAAGTTTTTCGCTATTTTTACCCTCCTATGAATTTAAGGGACAATAACATTTGTAGAGAAGTTTATCCAGATTAATTGGCAATGAATTTCATTCATAATCATGAGGTCCATCTTGATTTTCATTGTTAATGCGTAGGCCGAGTAACGAAATCATAGTTTCCTTTGTACCCATTTTTTGCGCTCGATTTTAAAGTAGAATTTAGAGCTTTTCAGGCCTATTCCATTTTTTTCGTCTCTGCGAGTAAAACCTCGGTCAATGTTTCCCCAAGACAAAGAACTAACCCTTTGTCTACTTCGGTAACTCTTTACTAAACCAGAGAGTACAAATATCATCAAAGACGGTTTAAGTGGTCGTAATCAGCAATCATTTTGCATTGCCCAAATCCCGTGTTTCAATGTAATTTATCTTTGAGGCCGCATTGAAATGATTCTCATTTTAACAAAAATCGTCAACAATCATTTTTTTGGTCACCATTACAATAGCAATCGATATTTCTTTAACGTTATTGCATTACTTTCTGTGGACAGCGGTCGCACACGGCGTTCGTCGCAGCGAACGCTCTCAGGCAGCAGCGGTGGCTCAGACTTGTCCGTCGGCACTCCGAGCACGAGCGAGAATCTCTCAACGATCATGCGACGCGAGAAGAACATGCGCGCCAACTACGTCAAAAGCCAGAAGAAATCTCTGGAACATATTCAGGTAAGATGCTCTATATTAACAGAGTTATATAGAAAATGACTTATTTTCATCATAACTTTTCTTATTCTTGATTGTGCCGAACTGGAAGACTTTAATGCGTGTACACTGTACAGTGAGCGCAGCGCGACCTAAACGCTTTATGGTCAATCTAGAGTTTATGGAGGAATCTTAACTAGATAATTAGATAGTTTATTCTGTAAAGAATTGGTTCATCCCAGGTAAAGAATGATAGATTCTTAATATCCTTGTCACTTTTCACTTAATAATAGCCATAACTTGCCACTTCTCAGATGGAGGAGCGAGCAATAGTGGAGCTGGAGCAACATTACCGCTCGCTTGCCGGCCCCAGAGACACCGTCACGGTGACCAGGCTGAGCTCGGCCCTCGTGGCTCAGCCTCAATGGACAGAACGGCATCGACCTCGTGACTTGCTCTCGTCTGTGATATTAAACAATTCTAACTCTTGAAAAGGATACTCACTGCTTATTAATAATCCGCCAACGCATTGCTTATCGTTTATCCCTTACTCGTGTTGGTTGTTTCGTCATTCAATTTTTTTCTTATAATATTTGTTTTTAATGATTGGTTTCTCTAGGCGTATGCGAGTATTCATTCATATTTCAGAGAAAATATACCTATAGGTAGAGTGCCATCAGATTGTTTTTTCTTTCGCTTCGGGTAACAAGTTCTGCTCTTGCGTAAGTGACAGGAGCTTTTCGTTCAAGTATATAACTTTTTGGAAGCAGATTGGCGTCGGTCTGTCGAGTTACGCAAATACATCGCACAATATCGCGGAGACTAAAACAATAAGCTCTACTAATAGATGACTGCGTATGGATGACTTCTTTGATAATTCGGTTTCAATATAACACTTTTAGGAACGTCCCTGCTTTGCAGTATTGATCTGCTTTAGTAATGCGAGTTGAGGTAAACATTTTGTTATTATTGGCAATTCAAGTTCTTTTGATGCATACCTTTTCTTTGTAAAACCAATGTGATAACATATCAACCCGCATTGGCTGATCGCTGATCGGCTAGAAGTAAACTGCTCATATACAAGAATATTTATCCCATAGCATTTTCTTATCCTCGCGATGTAAGTAATTTATTATAGCCATGCAAAGGATGTCAAAACTATATAGAAATTCACCAAGTTTAATGACATTGCATCGTTTGGTTCATTTGAGTACGTTATACTTAATTATAGTTAAATACTAAGCTAATCTTTGGTCATCTTTGGTCCCTCAATGAAGACTGGCGTGGCAGTGAGCAATTATTTGAGCGTAGACACCCGTCAAAAGTTCTTCCTCAACTTCAACGTTTCTAAAGAAACTTCAATTATATCTAAGTTAATCTAGTATAAATACCTTACACTGAAAATGAATTGCAATAAAACAAGATATAACGATTCATGAGCACATACCCATGGTATCGTTCCCACACCATGAGCGACTGGAGGAACATCACCTGCTAGTCACGTCCCAAGATTACCTGCCTTTTGGAGGAGCGGGATTGTTTCTTTATGCTGCTGCAATCAACAGTGCAGAAACAGTACATACCTGTTCTTCCAGCGAACAGTCACGTATGTTGTAATGAACCTCGATATTGAATCTGTATAAATCATCAACACTGCGTTAACATTTCATCAATTTGAGCTCTACTCTGAGTATAGAACATTGGTTCCTAATCTGCGATCAAATTTCCCCTGATGATTATTATTTATCGATCCTCCATTTCCAGTCGTCATGTAAAGGGCAGGGTTTCAATGCCCTCATACACATCAAATGACATAGGATTGGACTATTATAGTATAGTATCTTCGGCATTGAAGAATAGGCCTGTCGCCGATTCTTGTATTTTTCTTGACTAGGAAGACTAACATCGATTACTATGATAAGACAAATTGGACAGCAAAGTGAAAAGTATGAGCATCACTGGACCAGCGGGTCGATGTTGAGCTTCAGCGTGAGAGCATCTTCAGCGCGCGCAGCTTCCAGCCGCGCCATGACAGCTTCAGGTCGATAATCCACACTCTGTCACAATTGTTTCAAGAATGATAATAATTCTAAACTCTTATCAGTATTCGAGGGCTTTAGTTACCCCATTATTGCATTCAACATAACTGGTCGGAAAGTTTGTCTCACACTATCGAGTTTTCCGATTTTTAATTGAAGTTTTGCCTTTAAAATTGTACTAAATCCAGAACATGTACATGTATACTGCACGAAGCACAGAGATAATATTTTACAATTATCAGCCCTAACAAGACTTGTTTGAAGCCTCATATATAATATAACTTAGGTTCATTTATTTGTTCACAGCGCATCAATATAAATAAATACCTTGATCTTGAAGCCATCAGAGGCAGCATCGAAAACTGTCACCCCGGACGACGCGGCCTCGCCGCCGAGCGACGTTGCAATATCAATGGATGACACCGGCGGACCAATGGTCACGGGGAGGCTGGTGGACGGAATAGGAGGACCGATGGATGGAACTTTATAGATATCAGACGACGCTGAAGCACCGAAGGACCACAATGGACGGCCACATCGCGAACACAGCCCTCTGGTAGCTAGTTCTTGAAGCCTTTGAATGGCCGCCGCTGTTCGATCTCGCTCCTGAAACACAACTCTTTGGCAGCGACTAATTCTAGATCTGAATACACACAGTGAATGCAATCGAGTTATTTCTATGTACTATGGAATCTTCATTACTCTTTAAGACGTGAGGTCTAAATTGAGTGCAGGGTGGTTTGAGTACAGGATGGTAGCCTTGTGTTGGAACAGCTAACAATGTTCTTGCATGTGAAGCTAAGTTTAAATGCAGGATTCCCCTCAGCTTGTGAACCAATGTATCAGAAAAAGCATAATACAAAAAAACACCATTCTGTTTAGAATATTTACTTCAATACTGTTCGAAGTTCTAATAAAAACTTACCAAATCTTGGAATAACCTTAGAGTTTGTCTAATGACACAAACCCTAGTGTCTAGGCCTTAGCTTAAGATGCGAACAACATTGACGACGGTTAACATTTTACATTGACGGGTAACATTTGAACAACATTGACGACGGTTAATGCATCAGTAGAAAAAATAATTCAACTCCCAATCCCCTCACTGCCCTCCTCCAAGGAAAAAACCTTGGCGAGCTTAAATGCACCGGAATGAATGTTGGACCAAAGTGTTCTCTGTCAGTGAAAAGTTGTTTTTTATTTCGAAACATAGGTAAAGTGAAAATTGTTCTGAAATGACAGGAAAAGCATTAACGCATTTTATTAATGTGCGTCAACATTAATACAAGGCCTCGATTGGGCGCCAACTGTCATGCCGGAAATTAACAGGGATGATGACTGATTTCCGTATGCAACGATAAATTAAAAATACTGTAACGTTAAGTTATGAATTTCATTTCTACAGCATGCAATAGCGAAAGTTTCTTCACACGCGAAAAACAATGATAGACAGTGCATGCCAGAACCAAGAACTGATTACGGTATATGATAACAAATGAGAAAAAATGTAACTAAGTATTCACTGCAGTGAGTGACAGACGGCGCATTTTCTCGTCGACGAAAACGTGAAATCACGGACAGACGGACGGACATGACGAGCACAATAGCGTTTTTTCCATAAATGAGATATTTATATTTATTAAATATTAGTAAAAAATACAAAAATAATAAATATTAAAATATTTATGAATAACCGACTTTGGCGGCCTGCAGCTTGATGAGATGTGCAGCCTCGGTCTCTGCCTGCAGATGGTGCAGCCGTTGCTGCAGAGCAGCAGCTTTAGACTGCAGCTGCTGCCGCTGCAGAGTCAGACTCTCCTGTTCCTGCTGCAGAGCTTTCTGCTCGCTCTGCAGGCGAGCTGTCGCCAGAATCATCTGAAATATTCAATAATTTGATTAAAGTTTCATGGCCCGAGAAAATATAATTTCAAAAATACTTCCGGTGCATAAATATTAGACGAAAAAAATTATAGAAGAACGTACGGTATATAATTGAAAATTGAAGAACGTACATATTAGATGAAAGTAAATACTTGCAGTCACAAATAACTTTGAAAATCGATCAAAAATAAATAAAATCTGTAAGGTTCTCATGATTATAACGCAATCATACAAATCTCTCAAGTTCAAAAGAAAAAAATACAAGAATCGCTTACGTCCATTCGTTCCCGCTCGAGCTTCGCCTTCAGCTCCAGCACGTCTGCTCGCTCAGCGGCCAGCTCCTCCCGACGCTGGGCGAGCTTCCTGCTCTCGTCGCCCCCCAGCAGGCGGTCCCCCACCGGTCCCAGCAGGCGGTCCCCAAGCGGTCCCGGGCGGGGGTCCAGGCCGGGGACCGCTGCGTCTTGTCTTCTCTTGCTGGCCAGCAGAGACTCCTCGACCTGTGGACAAATTTTGTTTCAATATACAATATAATATACAGTATCTGAGCTTACATATACAGTATTGTATACAATATAATATACAGTATTTGAGCTAACATATACAGTATTGTATACAATATAATATACAGTATCTGAGCTTACATATTTTTGCACAATATTCAAGTTAACAGCTATATTTTGTAAAATTATTATTATTATTATTCGACGCATTTGTCGTGGCGTCTGGTTCAAACGAACCTCGAGGGCACGTCACACATAATATTAATAGCAAGCGAAAAATAAGTAGACACAAGATAGGATGGGAACGGAATTCGAGTTCACTTCTTTTGAGACAATTCGTGAAGACAGCTTTTTTGTACAATATTCGAGTTAACAGCTTCATTATAAAATATTTAAATTAAGAGCAATTTGTATAAAATAGTAACAGAATCAACAGCTATTTTTTGTGCAATACTCGACTTAATGGATATTAGATACAAGAATCGCCTTCCTGACCCTACGTGTCACCTCGACGTGTGTGGTAAATAGTTAGTATATTCCTTATGAGTTACCAGTAGAATAAAAAAAACTTACTAGAACTGTTATGAATTGTTGACTAAATTGACTAAAAATCTAAAGTCAGAGGGTTCGAGAAAATCAACTCGAAATATGTTGGCAACTCAGTATGAAATACATTCCTTATCTTACCAAAAGTTCAATTACCCAAAATCAATTGTGCAGATGTAAACAAGCCGACATCGTCATTATAAAATATCTCAGAGACTTCCCAAACAATCTGATTCCTTTGCATGCTCTTTTTAGGCTGTAAAACTTAACCTCAATGAATATAAGTAAACTTCCAATTCCACTGCAGCACTTCAAATAGCTTTGACCAACTTTCCACATAACCGCATCACTTCCATATTTTGCTGTCAAACTTGCTATCATACTTACAATTTTATTTCCTCTTACTCAAGCTCACTGCCGTAGGTTTAATTCCTTTACCTCACTTTTAACATCACTTAATTACTACCTTATCTCTTACTTTTAACATCACTCACGTCAAAATCACATCACCTTACTTCTTCTTTTGATGAATTACATTCGATCATGCATGCTTTACTTCTAATTCTTCAGCCCCACTTTCAACGCCACTTATCGCCTCGTCTCAATTCTCAATGAATTAATTCAAACCTCACCGCCTTACTTCCATTCTCTTTGCCTCACTTTCAACGTCCATTACTCCCTTATCTCCATTATTACTGAATTAATTCAAACCTCACCGCCATAATTCCATTCTCTTTGCCTCACTTTTAACGTCACCCCCTTATCTCAATTATTACTGAATTAACTTGAACCTCACCGCCATACTTATATTCTCGTTGCCTCACTTTCAGTCTGGTTGCCTTCTGCTGCAGCAGCTCCTGCTGCTGCCTGAGTCGCGCTGCAGCCTCGTCCAGCTTCTGCTGCTCGCCTGCAGCTGCTGCAGCGAGACGCTGCTCTTCACTCAGCTTCTTTTTCTGAGCAGGAAGAGAGCGTTGCATGCATCACGACTGAGCAGGAAGCGAGCGTTACATGCATCACGACTGAGCAGGAAGAGAGTTACATGCATCACGACTGAGCAGGAATACCAGCGAGCAGCAAGATTGAGGCGATGATGTCTCAGGCTTCACTGCTTCAGAAATAGTTACATGGACTTATATTTAGACCATGAATTTATTTATGTAAAATTGAATATGCATTGCCAGATTCCCAGGCAATGCTAGGAAAATTTTTTTATTGTTCGAAGAAAATAGTTAAAAAATTGTTCGAAATTTTCTATGCATTTGCCACCTGCGCAAAATACTGATAAATAAAAATAAATTAAAATTCACCGAGTGGTCTCACTAAATGGTGATACCTTTAACAACAAATATGAAATGAATCAACAAGCAAAACGTATGAATATTAAAAAAATTTTGCTCCACATATTCTTCCTAACAAAAAATTGTTGCATGAAAGAAAACAAGCAACTGCTGAGCCAACGGCCATTCTGAAGGTAATGAAGCCATAAGGCCAAAGTATCAACAACATTTAAGCGTTCGCGAGGTAACAGAAAATTCCAGGAAACTTGAATCATTGTAAAGTTATTATAAAATAGTGAAATATTTTTTAATAAAGTACGAACATCAGGAGCTTTGATTATAAATTTACCAGCTGGCATTTCAATCTAAATAAAGTTTGAACAGCAAATGATTTGCTATTCATCTATCACTCCACTGACCTACCAGTTGTTTTATCATTCAACTGGCCTACTCTTAATCTCATCACCAGCTGGCCCGCTCCACCTCTCACCATGACCACAGGGGCCGTATTATCAAAACTTCGTAAGTACGCAAAATTGACTTACGAGAGGCTTAAGTGCTGACTTGATGACGTAACTCTAGAGGTGGTATTATCAAAACATTTGCGCGGGAAGCTACGTAACGTAACTACGCCTGCTCGGAGATGTCGTAAGTGAAGTTCCGCACAAGTTTAGAGTGTCTGCTGAAGCGATAGGAAACTGTTGATTTACTAACAAATAACAACACCTTGACTTGTGATAGAATTTTGTCAATAATCCGACATATAATATGTGGTCGTGCTAAACGGTGCTTTTGGGATAAAAATGTCAATTGCCTTTTGTGCTATAATTTACAAGCAAATGTTGATATTCATATCTCACAGTTTTATGATCATTCACTTGAATAATGCCTTTTTGATTCAAAATTATATTGAGGTTGACAAGCAAATCATTTTTCTAGTTCTCTGTGAACAAATTTATTTCTTTTTATGACAGTCGCAACTCCAAGTCCAACTCAAGAAATTTTCTAAATTCTTTGTAACCTAAAAAAAATCTTCTAATTTTGAATGGGAATAATGAATTTATTTGCCGTTATTGCAAGAAATTTCGGCTAATGATCACAGCAAGTGCATTGCTATTTCGATAACGTCTCACTCATTTATCCCAATACACTCTAGTCAGGCACCGCAAATGCCGCTGACACCACACATCTTACTTTCGTCCAAGCGCACTGCGCACTGGTCGAGAGGAGCTTACTGGCGCTATAGGAAGAGCAAATCTCTGATTGGTCAGTTAGCCAGATGGTTTTGATAATACGCGTTTAGCTACGTTTTGCGTACGAAAGTTTTGATGATGCCAAAATTAGGGTGTACTTACGTAACACGTAACTTTTTTTGTCGTAAGTACAAAAAGTTACGAAGTTTTGATAATCCGGCCCCAGGCCTACAGTAACCTCGTCGCCAGCTGACCTGCCAGTTGGCAATACCCCCGTCGCCAGCTGACCTGCCAGTTGGCAATACCCCCGTCGCCAGCTGACCTGCCAGTTGGCAATACCCCCGTTGCCAGCTGACCTGCCAGTTGGCAATACCCCCGTCGCCAGCTGACCTGCCAGTTGGCAATATCCTGGGCCAGTTGGCGCTGCTCTCTGCCCAGTCGCCAGGTGTTCTCCTGCAGCTCCGCCTGCTGCGCCGCCACCCGCTGCTCCAGGCGCGTCACGAGCGCGCGCAGACGCTCCTGTTCCGCCTCCGCCGCCCGTGCGCCCGCCGTCAGCTGAGCCTCCAAACTTGCCACCTGCGCAGGGGCCATACTTTCAAAACTCGCTAAGTGAACGTAAGTACTTACTCTCTATACTCTTGTCTATGATTGGTGGATTTTGCTTGGAAGCCCGTCAATGATTGGCTGATGAACTTACGATCTCTTAACTTTTTTTGAAAGTATAGGCTCAGGAGTCGGAGCAATGGAGCACAGGGGCAGCGTAAGCAATGCCAGAGCAGCTGTGGCAACAGTTGCTGTCAGAGAAGCTGTGATATTCACATAATTTTCTGAGTAGCAATAATGAAAATAGCGTTATCTAAGCAGCTGTAACAGGAATGGCGTCGTCAGTGCAGCTGTAACAGGAAAGCGTTGTCAGTGCAGCTGTAACAGGAATGGCGTCGTCAGTGCAGCTGTAACAGGAATGGCGTTGTCAGTGCAGCTGTAACAGGAATGGCGTTGTCAGAGCAGCTGTAACAATACAATAACAAGATACTAACTAAACTTCAGAAGAAATTATAAAAGTTGTGAGCAGATACTGAAGAAAATAATTAATTAAATTTCAATAAATAGGCCATAGTGGGAGTAGTAGCACAGACCTGCTGCTGCTGCGCCTGCAGCGCTTGCTGCAGCACCTGCTGTGCGGCGTCACTCTGCTGCTGCACGTTGCTGCTCAGTTCAGTGAGCAGTGCAGCATTGCTGCTGAGTTGCTGAGACACAACATTGGCTTCTGTGCAGCGTGCAGCATTACGCTGCACAGCGGCAACCTCCATGTCCTTCATCTTCTGCACCTCCTGCAGCTGCAGCTCGTGCTGCTCCTGCAGCAGCTGCAGCACGCACTGCAACACTCCAGTCCATTTCCATTGAGTAACGAAACTATCATAATTTGTCAATTATTTTACTAATTTTATAGTTTCTTCTACTTGTGTTAAAACTAATTGATTGATTAGTCTACAATGTTATATTTAATTTCTAAACTTGCTTAATTTTTTAAGACTTTCAATGGAACAGCTCAAACAATCTCCATAATTTAAAGTTCTCACTGAATTTTTAATACTTAAAAGGAATGCATCAGAGGATAATGTATGCACCTGATGATGCTGAACAAGTTGATCGTGCTGCTTGTGCAGCAATTCTTCCTTCTTGACATGAAGCTCATCGCTGAACTTGAGTTTAGTCTCGTAACTTTTGGTAAGAAGCTCAAGTTCTTGTTCATGGTGAGCTCGCAGAACTTCAAGTTCCGCACTCAACTTCTCCACCTCTACCTGAGCCTTCCGTAAAACTTCTTGGGCTTCTTGCTTTGCACGCGCTTCAGTATCATTAATATTTAATTTCTTGTTGGTGCTGCTATCATCATTGCTGTTATTTTTGCTGTTATTGTTGACATTAATGTTGTCAGCGATGGCCGGGGCAGCAGCACCCGAAACCTCCACGGGTAGTCCCAAGAGACCGAAGTTGGAAATACCAAGCAAAGCGTTCTGGCACCTGCAATAGGAACATAAATTTAGTTGAAATTCTTAGTAAAAGAAAAACTATACAAAATGGTCAGAGAACAATCGAGATGATATAAATTGAAAGTTGAGAGTAGTTGGTAGTTGAGTAGTTAGCTGCCACAAAATGTATCATTTGAAGAAATAATTCGAGATGTCACAGAATGGATGAAAAAAAGGATGCCAAGGACAAGCGAAACGAAAGAATCGTTATGGTCACTTGCAATTTAAATGATAAACTAAAACCTCTTTCCGTTAACGCCTGTCTCAACAGGAGAGTTAAGTGTGGTTCACAGCTTCAACAACGGCGCTTTCTACTGTCAACACGGTAAAAAAGTTTGCAAACGCCAATAAGGCTGGCAAAAATTTTCGAATTTAAGTACTTCTCAGAAAAACAATGTAATTGTTAGTGTGAATGTAACAGTTGTCGAAAATGTCGAAAGGCCTAAAAATGAACTTGCAAATGTCAACCGGGTTAACACCGAGTTTACAAACGTCAACTGGGCTTACAACAAACTTTTAAGCTATCAAAAAGGTTAATACAGAATTGATAAGTATAAACAAGGCTAACACAAAGTTAACCAATGACAACATGCTTTACATTAGTTAACTATTGTCGACAGGGCCAACAGAAATATTACAAATGTCAACAGGGGCAACACAAAGTCAACAAATGTCAACAAAGTTACCGTAGCCCCAGACCTGCGCACAGCAACTTCCTGTTGCTTAGCAAGCAGGTCCATCATTGCTCTCTGTTGGCTGATCTGCTGCACGGTCTGTTTGGCGAACTGTTCTTGTATGTGCTTCTGTTGCTCCTGCAGCTGCTGTGCTGCTTGCTGTTGCTGCAGTAGCAGCTGTTCTTGCAGCTGCGCCTGAATCTCACCCGAAGCAGTCAGGCCTGTACGAGTATTTGTGTTCATATAATTCCTTAGCAATAACTTATTGAAAATTAATAATACTAGCCGATTCCCAGATAAAATTATCACTCCATCAGTTTAGCATTGATTTCTATACAAAAAAAAATGGAGTTTCAATAATTAAATAGAATGGTATTAAATTTATCACAAATAAATCAAAATTTTCAGGAGTCAAGCAGTGAAATTTAAAATTTTATAGACAAGTTTCTACTTTTCCAAGTCAAGGTGAAGTTCAACTCTCAAATATAACATTATAATCCTTATATATCTTAAATGAATGAAATTTTTTCTCTAAGTTGATAATTGCTGTTGAAGATCCTTAGATTCATTGATATATTTCAAAATGTCGGCTTATTTAGAATTGAGGGAGGGAATATTTTTCCCAAAGATACCAGCCAGGGCGAGGCTGCCAGTGTCGGGGTAGCTGAGGAGGAAGGAGGTTGCCTTCCCTGCAGCCGCTGCTTGACTGGGAGAGCCTTCTGTTTTGGAGGAGAAATTTAGTGGCATTGACATCTGTTTTATTTTATGTTTCTCCAATACCAGGTCCCCTGTAGGGACAGCGGTACCAGGTTGTATTAAAAGGCATAACCAAGGACAGCAATAATTATTTATAACTAAATTTTCACAATAATTATCTTAAAATTGATCATTGATCAAAAATATATGAACAAGCATAAATACTCACCCAATGATGGAGGTGTTGACTTTTTAGGGGAAGATGATTTTTTTAGAAGAGAGTTCAACCATCCTCCTCCTGCAGTCTCAGAAGGTTCTCCGTGGACATCTTTCCCAGCAGAAGCAGCCATGGCACCCATTGCACCCGAGGTAACAGCTGTGGATGCTGCAGATTCTTTAGGACTGTCGGACTTGTTATCTGCAGACTGGGCACGGCGATTTCTGCTGGTTCCCACTATGTCCGAGTCATCGATCTCAAAAGATTTGCGCGCATTCTTGGCGGTTTCTGGCTTACCTCTTCTACCAGATCTACTAACGGGGCCTCCATTTGTACCGCCTTGAGCACTGGACTTATCCTTGCCACTTGCACTGTTTCCAACTCCATAGCCACCACCAAGAAATCCACCAGTGCCAAAAAAATCGTCATCATCATCGACCAACAGGCCAGCAATTTTCCCTCTAGGCTGAACTGATGGAGGCGACTTGCTCGGATTGTAAGCAGAATCAGTTTTGTTGGGCAAGTTTTTATTAAACTTTGAATCAAACAAGAGATCCTGTGATTTTTTAGCAGAAGATGATGCATGACTCTCTTTATTTCCTGATAAATATGCATCAAAGACAGAACTGCTTTTTGGTGGTTGTAATTTCTTGTCAAGATCTCCAAAAATACCATGGTCATCACCACCAAAAATGTCACTGGATTTTTTCGCACGTGCACTCATGATGCTGGAAGGAGAATTCTTTCCTGGCAAGGCTTCATTCTTGGCATTCAAATTTTGTTTGTCCCCATTGGCTTTTTTCAAGGCAGAGGAACTGGGAGACAAGTGGACTCCAGGAGGGGATGTTTCCTTGCTTTCTTAAAAAAAAATACAATAAGTAATTATAGTTTGTTTCCCATAATTATGTACCCACAATATTATTTCCCATAATTGAATTTTTCATCATTGTAAAATTCAATATGAAAAAAGTTTCATGGATGGAGAAATTAGAAGTACAATAAAAATGGAACAGTATGCTTGAAAGTTTTAAACAGAATGTATTTTGGTTCCATTAAATATTGCAAAATTGAAAGAACTGCACAGTAAAATGATTCCTTAGTGAAACAACACCTACAACATCAATTTACATATTTATAAAGTATAGGCAATCCTAACTCTGCATGGGGTAGATGATTTACTAAGATTTCAATACCTATCTCTTTATCGAATACATAATTTTTCCATTAAAACTAATTATTTTTAACTGAAGCAATATTAATGAATGAAAGACCTTTTTCAAACTCTCCTTTAATTAAGAATGCTCATTCACATCATGTTCTTATCTTCACATCATATTAAAAAGTTGAAGGAAACAGGTATTTTGAATTTCATATCAACTTCATATAATAAATTATGTTTAATCTTTTTCAAATTTTAATTTAAAATTTTCAATCCAACCCCATTTTATAATTCCATTTCTACAATTTATCTTGAAGAAATGATGATGGTTTATTGTTACCATCATGATGGTCTCCATGATGGTAAAACATATTTACATATCAAATCAAGACACATGAAATGCTGAAATATACTCCATTGTAACTCATGTTCAATTACCTCGAACACTGGCAGAAGGGCTGGTTGATCGAGGCTCAATTCGGCTGTATTGATTTGATGATTGTACCTCTCCATCTGTCATACAAATATTTAATCAGGGAAAATAGGTATAGTGATGCAGGAAAAAATCACAAAAAAACTTTTTAGTATAGAACAATCATTGAAATAAAATGGATACCTATCTGTAGGGTGCTATGTTGTTCAAAACTAGAACTGATCTTCACAAGCTTGAACAGTATAAACCTCAAATGTATCGCACCTCAAATGTATTAGCAAATCTATATAATCCCTACACCCTCAAATGGCAAGCTATGTTGTCATCTACATAAAAGCTAAAGGACCCTAAAAATACAAAAAGGACCCTTTATATAAGCTTTAGGTATAAGCTAAAGGACCCTAAAAATTTACACAATCGAAGCCACAGTTTGCATGGAGTTTTTCCTAGCATTTTTCCCATTCTTGAAAAATAAGGAAACATCAACATTTATGACAATTTTTTGAAGTGATCACATTGCATAAAACAATAGGTACCAGAATATTCACTCAATTGGCAGGTATGAGAAAAAGCAGCAGAAATAAACATTTATACGCTAAAAGAAAATTTAGCTACCATCTGGTTTTGTATCTTCAGAACCACTGAATGTGACCTTCTTTGGAGTGTCTCTACCACTGGTGGGACTTTTGATCAAGTCTGGAGACTTTGGTGACTTGATAGAGGACTTTGCAGGAGACTTGGCGAGGCCCGAGACAGGTGGGAAATTCTTAGAGGATTTTAGAGACTTGTGGCTGTGCTTCAACAGCCCATCATCATCTGCATCATCGTCCTGCAAGTCCTACAAGTCAAGGCAGCAAAAGTTCCAAAGTTAACTCAGAATAATATGATAGGTATAAAATTGAATGCTTATGATTTGAAATTGAATTAATATCAGCTGGTAAGGCCAGCTATAATAAAGACAAAAAATTATAAAAGAAACAAGTTTGAAATCATTTGAAGGCATTATTTATGTTTAGGAAGTTGTAGATATCAACAACAAATATTTATGTTGATTTAAATTCAAGAAAGAACAAAATAAGTCTAATGAGTTCTAAAAAGTGACATAGGTAATTGGCATAGGTAATTGTGGCAACATGAAGTGTCTACAGACAAGATTTGCAAAGATATGCATTTAGCCATAATATATATAGGTTAATAACAAATATCCCTATTTCAAAGACCCAAGGAGAAGATGTGGAAAGTAAGTGCTGATTACAGCTCTCCAATGACAATAAATTAGTAAATATGAATAGTGGTTAGCCAATAGTTCCACTGATGGCATTCTGCACACCATGCCAATGGTTTGGTGATAAATAATGAACAATTTCCTCTCCGCTTCAGTTCAGATAACAACTGAGTAGCAATTTTGAGAATAAGCCAATTTAGTTCATAATAACTTGCAAAATCTTGACCTGGACACCTATTTTGATCTCACTTTGCCATTATTTGTTCTTGATTCTTGAATTTCAATTTCTCTCAAATGTTTATATGAACAATACATACAAGTTTAAGCAAAATTCAACTAGAGGTCAGTGGAAATATTTCTTATAAGTTAGATACTTACATCAAGGAGTTTATCAACTTCATCTGCATCAAAATCAGAGACAGGCTCTGTAGAAGTGGATCTACTCATAATGTTGTTTTCAGTGGCATTTTAAATCTGAACTAATATAAGCTTTCCTGAGCCTAGGAGTTAATATAGGTACTATTGTTAACAAACAAAAAATGTCTCAACAGATACCTTACTAGTTAATTATTTTTTAGCATACTGAGAGAATAATTGTAAATCAGTGATGAAAGTGTTCTCTAAATTTTTAGAGGGTAAAAATTTACAGGTAGTTTAAAATTCAATAAATAATAGGGCATTCTAGAAGTTCAGCCTGAAAAATTGTGAAGAGTAAAAATGTTAAATTATGCCAAAACATGATGGTTGCGCTCCACACAGTAGTACATTTTACAGCATAGGATTGTCTCAGATGAGATATTATTGAAACTTCTATGACAACAATTCTCTCTCCACGTGATACCATCACAGAAACATCCTATGGCCCGATTCATGGGCTAGGCTTTATAAGCCATCACTCAGTGAGGGAAGCCGGTGATGCTCCCGTTATGCTGATACATGCTTTGATTCTGTTAAAACTACTCTGGCACTGACTGCTATGCCATTACTGTATAGCAATCCCTAGCAATCAGACTTGTACCAGTAAACTGTTATATACCAATAATTATCAAAGGGTATTAAGGTGTGCTCATTTGACATTGGTGTTAAGCTAAGACTAGGAATAAGTAAAAACCTTGACCACCATAAGGCTAATACTTATTTGAGGTTAATATGACTATGGGCCAGTATGGGGCAAGCGACAAATTGGCAGTGCAGGCATGGAAAACTAGTCTCTGATAATTGCAAAGAAGCCTGATTGTGTGTATTATATATTAGTGCCTAAAATGCCAGCATCCATATGATTATTCATAGTAACTGATGTTGGTGACTTTGCTGAGATGCCTTTTCCCCAGCTGTTCTACTATTCAGAGTAGGGTAATTGTGTTGCCCAGACAATGGGGAAGGCCCTTGCCACACTCAGGATGATGTATGTTTTCGGTGAATTTTCCCGCACATTTTCACTTTTTTTAAGCTATTGCTGTGCACAGTTGGCGCAATGTAATGAAAATTGATTCTCTTCGCGCACGTGTTCGCGCAATCCCGGCCATCAATTCTATGTCGCGCTGCTGCGCACGAGCAGTTTGTGGAGGAACAGACGTAATACTCACATTACTCAGTACAGTATGCCTTTAATTATCTTTCAATAATATATGATTTTTCTTGATACGGAAATTTGGTGAATGAGAAATCTAGAACTTTATTTTAGAAGAAATTTTCTCCAAAGTCATATGGCAACACTGAACACCGTCTTTATACATTTTGTCTATTATACATTTTGTATGTATAATAGCCACAGTTTACGATTACCGTACGTTCCGTATCTGACAAGGCGGACAAGAGGAAGAGTCAGAAGTAACCCGGACATGTCTTACATTTTATTATTGTCAGTTCGACTCGCGTAGTCAATATACTCGCGTATATTGTTGACTAAAATAGTAGAACTATTTTAGCTTTCTAAAGTACGGCGCACGGCGCATTTTTTTACCAGCATAGTACAGAAGTTAATATAAAATTACCATATATAACATATTTTATGTTTGACAGCCTATTTATGTTTTTTCTTCATGTTTCAGACTCTACAGAGTCTTATATGTGGTAATTTTAACTTAATTTCCAAGCCAGTCAATATTACCCCATCAGGACTGCCATTAGGTACGTAGTCACATTTCCCTCATTATGGGGCGGCGCCCCCCATTTGCAAACTATGACACTTTCCTCAAGTTTGTCATTTGCATATGTAACTAGAAGAGTTCTACTACAATGCACCAAAACCTGGAGTTATTTAACCAAAAAATAAAAAAATGGGGGGGGGTACTCTGACAGGCTTTAAATAATAGCTTTTTTTTGTGGGTCACATTTTTAATTTTTAACCTATTAGATATGCAAACTTTTCAAATCTTTCTATTGTGTTATGTAGCCTCAGTATTAGGCCTTTAAGGCCCATTGACAAAATTTTTCTATGTCAAATAGTTTTTGAGTTGTGGGGGTTTTGTTAAAAAAACAAAAAGTGGTCTAAGTTACCCCACCGGTCTAAGTTACCCCATTTTACGATACATATTACTAGTTTTTTGCAAGCTGCAGCTTGCAGTTTCCTGACCTAAGAAACTTTAATTTAAATTTAAAGTCTGACTTTCATGCATACGTACTATACTTCACCTAAAGGATATCAAGGATGGGCCAATAGTCACTGAACCCCATGGTCAGGAAGATGTGCCAGGTGCGCGGGAATTTATTTTGTCATTTTAACGACCTGCGCGGTGCGCCGTACTATGCTGGTAAAAAAATGCACCGTGCGCCGTACTTTAGAAAGCTAAAATAGTTCTACTATTTTAGTCGACAATATACGCAAGTACATTGACTACGCGAGTTGAACTGACAATAATAAAATGTAGGACATGTCTGGGTTACTTCTGACTCTTCCGCTTGTCCGCCTTATCGGATACGAAACGTACGGTAATCGTAAACTGCGGCTATTATACATACGAAATGTAAACAGACGGTGTTCAGTGTTGCCTAATGCCATATGACTTTGGAGAAAATTTCTTCTAAAATAAAGTTCTAGATTTCTCATTTACCAAATTTCCGTATCAAGAAAAATCATATATTATTGAAAGATAATTAAAGGCATACTGTACTGAGTACCGTAATGTGAGTATTACGTGTGTTCCTCCACAAACTGCTCGTGCGCGGTAGCGCAACGTAGAATTGATGGCCGGGATTGCGCGAACACGTGCGCAAAGAGAATCAATTTTCATTACATTGCGCCAACTCACAACTGTGCACAGCAATAGCTTAAAAAAAGTGAAAATGTGTGGGAAAATTCACCAAAAACATGCATCATCCTGAGTGTGGACTGAACCATTTCAATTTTCAATTTTAAATTAACATATTTATTTTAACAGTTATGTGCATGAAATTTTAGAATCATAAAGTCAAGGCAATGGAAACCGATTTTCTGTTGCAAATTTAATTTCATTCTTATCACAAATTTACTTTCAGTAAAATTTAGAAAATTTACTATTAAATGTAACTAAAAAATAACATCCTGCATAACAGTCAATGCATATGCTTTCCATTTTCTGCTTCACAAATTACAGCTCTTTCAATTATATACCTCTCCCTCTGTCTCTGTGAGCTGCGCCGCTGTGGCTCTGCCATAACCTTTTCCAAAATTTCTGAGCTCATTTACTGTATTTTTTTAGTGATGTTTTCATTCTGCTCTATTCAGACTATTAAATTGAAGATTGTGGCTTATTAGCATTGAAATGCCTTCAATAATTATTTATTATTGAAGGTTTGAATTATTGAGCCTAGCTTTTAATAATAAAATTTTACAATTTGTGCGTCATTGCATGTTGGAGAGGAGGGTAACAGGATCTGAATCTGAATGAAATGAAAACTAGAAAGCAAATAAAAAATAGTATAAAATGAAAAATATATTGAAAAATATAAAGGGTCTGTGACTTTAGTCCTATCCCGTTGTAGCGGTTCCCGGTAAGCCCGCACAAATATGCGAGACTGTATCTCTTGAGTCCTTGGTCATGGAACAAATACTGAATGTGGTCAGAAGGAGTCACATTCAGGAAGGCATGAAACATGGAAAACACTAAACAATTTAATACTAACAAAACACAAAATACAAAATGGCAGATACAACAAAAATGAATGGTACTTGGTCTAAATCAAACACTAGCGGTGGTGTCAGTTCAGCCCACTTGGTGGTCTGGGTAGAGTACTCTAATGAGTGGACCACTAAGGCCTCTCAGTGTTGTAGTTTCGAGTAACTACAAAATAATATTAAAGTCAAAATGGAAATAGTTATTAACAGCTTCTGCTGCTTGATAATCAAAATGTCTTACTCAACATTAGCCAAAGTCAACTATGGTTTTAACAATCATAAATCAAGTATTAACCATCCCTAGTAGTAGTAGTAATCAAGTAGTAATCATAAATCAAGTAGTAACCGTCCCAGGCTTCAGGTACAAGCCAAGGAGTGATAGTTAGCAAGGCAGAACTTGACCACCGGTGGAGGGAAGGAGATCAAGGCTGAGTGGCTTGTGGACCAAGTTACACACACTCACATGCCACACCCAGGCATACCACACTCACCCCACACTGCACTCAGCACCAACACTCTTACCTTATGGCAGGAAGTATGCCCAAAGGGTTGTAGCCATCTTACCATTTGCTGGGCTGTTGGGAGAGCTAATGATTATCTAGGGCCTAGAGCACACTTTGAAAGCAAATGGTATTTGGCAAGCAAATAGAAACAAATAGGTGCCAAGCACAGGAATGCATAAGCGGACTAGGTCACACAATACCTGAACGTTGAACATCAATGAAAGTACATCAAGAAAAAGCAAACGGTTATACCTGTCTCTTATACACATCTAGATGTGTATAAGAGACAGGTTCTATCGCTGTAATTTTAGCGAGATATCAAACGCCCAGGGAATAATACAAATCCACTTGGGTACAATAGGTGCACTGCAATGAGTTCCTTAGGAGTTAGTTTATGTGCAGTCGAAATTACCTGGAAGTTATTCGAAAACATAGATGGACGAAAAACATGCAAAGTATTACACCGCTCTGTATGTATATAAAACCCCTGATAATATTCTGGAAAAAACGTAGAATAAAGTAAATCAATTATAATTGTCCACAATATTGTACATCAAGCGAATTTCCACCTGAACACGTTGGGGTACTCCTGCCCGCCAGGTGCAGAGATGTCGGCCAGGGCGGCGGTATTGCTGATCTGGGCAGCGGACGGCAGCAAGCTGTTGCCCCGCGACCGTCCGTCCGTCAACGGACTCGTGGACCCGTTCATTCCATACGATATCGTGAGCGATCTCGGGGCCGTCGGTGTCGTCTTGTGCTCCGCCGAAGATTCTTCTCCGATGGTTTTTTTGTTGGTGGATGTTATGCTCAAGGAGACATCGTTGCAGGACTGGTTCGAGCAAGAGTCCATGGGACGGTAAGGGTTGGGAGGGTTAGCCATGCTCGCGCTGCTGAAGCTAGAGCTTGTATAGCTCAATGTTGGTGTGGTCGTTAGAAGAGGACCCGGAGAAAGTGTATTGCCGTCTGGACAAGTGTTATCTGAAGACGATATGATCGGCAAGGATGAGGGAGCTAATCTAATGTATGGAGGCGGAGCAGGGTTTCCTCCGTCACTTGAGCAAAAGTTTGAGTTGTTTGGTAAGAGACCATTGCTCTGAGAACCAGTTAAGTTTGAATCATTAATTTCTTTCACTAGATGAGTACTTTCACCGGGGGACGATGTGTGCTTGTCCTGTCTCTTATACACATCTAGATGTGTATAAGAGACAGACTCTGCACTCTGAAGTGTCTTATCTCTGAATTTTTGCCCACAGTTACGCAACCCCCGTAAATCACCGTCCTGTCGAGGGGCTACCTTGGACGCGTCTCCAGAGCTCCTTCAACTACAAATAGAAGAAGAAGAAGAAGATGAGTTTCAATCAAGAGTTCACAGTCACCAGTGAAAGGTGGTGCTAATTTCTCTGACACCAAATCTGCCGGCTTTCAATCGGTGTATGTTCGTTAACTTTAATCAACCGCAAACTTTTGTCTCATTTTCTTGAGTAGTGAATCTAAACTGCCACCCAGAAGACAAGGGAGAATACCTCCAAGGCTCCAACCTCCTAAATGGAGGGTCGTCATGAAAATAACAGCCTTTCCACAGCCACAGAAAGAGAAACGAGACCCAAAGAATCCAATAATATTGGAAGGCGTGGAAGCAACAGAAAAACGCCCACACCCCTACTACGATGAGTACGATCAACGAGCAAGAATCAACCCAGCCAATCATGAAAATGAAGAATACCTAGCTTCTCCTGCTGCCACCCCCAACACAAAGAAAAGTGCCGCATCAGGAAGACAGGAACAGGTCTTTGCCTGACTGCAACAAGCAAGCATGCTGACAGAGAGTCCCCAGGACTAGTAACAAACACCCATCCCATGGAAGAAAGCGATGCTGACTCAATAATAAGTGGAGTCATATCAGACAGTCTGACAGTGCAGATGAAATAACACATCAACAAGAGAAACAAGATATAACGCTAAGAGGAGATGCAAAAATCAATACCAAGCCAACCCCTACCAGCACCAGCCCCCTTGGACCCAACCAAATAATACAGAAAAACCACCTAACTCAAGATAATGTGATTAGCATGAAGAAGAATGCTGCACCAACATCAGCAAGAGTGAATCTGAACTGCCACAAACATCTGGAAAATGCAGGAAAGAACATCCGGCAAATCTTGATAACCTCCAAGGATGGAATAACCAACCTGTCAAAGATAAATCCGTTCCATATTGCAAGGGCTACTGATATGATCTGTGGACCAGTTGAAAAAATAGAACACCTACCGCCCTACGCAATGGATCCTTGCTGGTCACCACCAAAACACTTGAACAACTAGGTACATGCATTCATGCAACAATGAAAATAAAGGAATTCACTCCTGCGGACATCTCAATTCCAGTTGAAACTTGAAACCACAGTTGCTTGGTCCTCCCAATTCTCATACGGTAAAATCTTTGCTGCAGAACAGCAAGGTGAGTCCCTACTCCCTAGAATACCTACTGTCCATCTTGAGACCCAACAAAGTTGTGGGAGTGAGGAAGCTTCTATCTGATCCAGCAAAAGCTAATGTTCCACTCTTTGTTCTAACCTTTTTTAGCCCAACTCCACCCTCCAAGATACAGATAGGATACTGTTATGTCAGAGTAGACAGGTATTATCCTAACCCGCTAAGATGCGGGTTCTGCTGCAGATACGGACATTCCCTGATACGACTCTTCCCTGCCTCCAAAATGTCTAAACTGCAAAGGTCCCCATGATGCTACACCTAGGCAGTGCCCAAAATACCTGGCCAAAATCCGTGCATGCCACCTCACAGCGGATAAAGGCATCAGCTTTGCCGCTGCCCGAGCCAGAGTACAGGCCGAGGAAGCAAGCCCAGCACCCTCACCAACTATACTGCAAAGACAAAGCAACACAGCAAGAACAGCTCCACTTAGTGAATTTAACAGCCAACAAAACAAGCAACCAACAAAAGATGCCAACAACTTTGAACTTAACTCCTTGAAGGTCTTCCCAACACTCACACAGCTCATTGCCCAAGATGCAACATCCTCCATACAGGGTTGGTGATTTTTTTGATTTAAAAAAAAAAAATCAAAAAAATCAAAAATCAATGATTTTTTTGATTTTTTCATGATTTTTTTTTGATTTTTTTTATTTTTTCAGCTTTTTTGTATTTTTGAGGTGTTATTTTTTATGTTGCAATTAGCCTACTAACAATAACAGTATATGGATCATAATGGATGGCTAATAAGGGCACTTATTGCCTTCAATAATGGCCAACAGGCCAAGGTGGTGTTTACCACTTAGGGATTTTTGGGTAAACAATTATTGATAAGTCTATTCATTAGCTTTGTAAAGTTTGTATGGAGCAAGGTAATGAGCTAAATATTGACCATTTAACTGGCTTCAATATACAAAAACACTTCAGGAATGCAGATCTTCTAAACATTGAAGAGTCACATAACAGATAGGTAGCTGATTGCACAGTGCACAGCACTATCAATAGATCTACTAGTTTTATGTCCTATAAATCTACCAGACTATACCCTCTATACACACCTACTAGTAGTGACTGAGTGACTGACTGCACTGTACCCATTTAATTCAGACCAATAAACCAATAGTAGATATAAACTGAACGATAACCAAACAAACCTCATACAGCTTGAAACGAGACTTAAGTTATGAGAAAAGCTAACACTGTTTGAAATAAACATGTGCACAATTCAAATATTTTATATCCATTCACTGCATTTAATTATTTTATATATAGTTATGAGAAAAGCTAACACTGTTTGAAATAAACATGTGCACAATTCAAATATTTTATATCCATTCACTGCATTTACTTATTTTATATATAGTCTTATAATTGTAATTGTTTTGTTTCTAGTTTTAAATTCACATATTTAAAGATTGAAATTAAATATTTTAATTAGAATACTCGTATTAGGGTGGAAAATCTTTCTAATTGCCTAAAAGGTCGATACAATCTCAACCTCTCAATATACAGGGTGGGCCAGAACTGATTGAGCAGTTTTGAGGTAAAATAAAAGAGTAATGGAGGTACATGAAGAAGAAAGTTTATTTTCCTAGAGGTTAGCATAACATACCATTTAGCCATTTAGAATACTTATGTTTTAAAAACAATATCAGGAAGATGGTGACCGTTAGCTGCAACACACTGTTGGAGTCATTCTCAGAGTAGGGAGTAACCGTAACAGTAAATTCCGATTGCTATGCTGCAATGTTGCAAAATTTCTTGCAGCCCATGATGGAAAACATTGTTGAAAATGAAGCATTGAGAGACGTGTGGTTCCAGCAGGATGGGGCTACAGCTCACACAGCTCGAATGTCACTCAATGTTTTGGAACGCATGTTTCCCATAAGTCTGGTGTCTCTGAGGGGTGATTTACAGTGGCCTGCATAAGTATTTTAAATGGTATGTTATGCTAATCATGAGGAAAATAAACTTTCTTCTTTATGTACCTCCATTACTCTTTTATTTCGCCTCAAAACTGTTCAATCAGTTCTGCCCCACCCTGTATAAGCTAGCTAACACATTTAAATTGTATATTGTAATCAATATATAACAAATAGTCAAATAGTTATACTACTTATAGCCTTATAAGAATTAGCCAAGCTGCTAGCTATGTACAATGTATTGCACTCTTGATGCCTCTGTACCAAAAACATTCAATTTATTGGAACCTAATACACACTAAAAGCAACAAGTTTATATACAATTTGTCATTCATAGTACATTTATACTAAACCATGAATAACAATACCTCAATATATATCAAAGACTGCCACTCAATATTTTTAAATATATGAAAAAATCAAAAAAATCAAATAAATCATGATTTTTTTATAAAAAAATCAAGTGATTTAATCACATGATTTAATCATTTTGATTTAATCATTGCCAACCCTGCCTCCATACCATCACACCAGCCACCAATAACTGAATCCTCTTGGAAATGGGGACCACCCAGTATCTTCAGACCCACCAGATCTCCAGTGCAAGCCTCTTCTTCAACATCTCTATCGCAGTACCCAAACACCCAAAACCATTCTGACGCCCACGCTAATACCAACAGAAGTGAGACACAGCCAGACCTCTCAAACAACAGAAATGAAGACCAGCCAGTGTCAACCCATAGTCCTGAGCACACCCAAGATCGCAACTGCCCACTAACCGCATCAAGTGCCTACACCCAGCACGCCACAACCCCTCCTTTTGCACTACCAAACCACATACCAGTAGCTGAATTCCTGCATATCTTAACCAAACTGCTGCCAATTCTTATTTGCCTGTTCTTCTCAACACAAATCACAGACAAAGCTGAATGCTTCCTTGAGATGGGCCACCTACTCAATGCTGACACAACTGTAACTGACTCACTCGCACAATTTGGCCTCACTTCGATCTCTCAATGAATCTCAAGATCATCCAATGGAACATCCGCTCCCTGCACTCTAACAAGCCCTATCTCCAGCAGCTAATATCAGATCACAACCCAGATATCCTGTGCCTTCAAGAAACATTTTTACAGACGGAGTCCAAAATACACATCCCCGGCTACCAACAGCCTGCAGCTCGCTGTGAGCGAATATGCAGTCGTGGGGGAGGTGTCCTGGCCTTGGTACGGACAACCATCCCACATTCTATACCATCACTAACATCCCCACTTGAGACATATGCAACCACCATACACCTTCCTGAGCATGACATCACAATGTGCTCCCTCTACCTACCTCCTAATCTCCCCAGGAATGTCATACAAGCTGAGCTACCCACCCTAATCTCACAACTCCCCACACCCTTCATTATATCAGTTGACAGTAATGCACACAACACAACATGGGGCTCTCCCCAGACAGACAGCAAGGGAGTAGCAATAAATGACATCCTGCATGAGTGTGACCTGGTTATTCTGAACACCTCTGAACCAACCTTCTTGGCCCCTTCAGGGCAATACAGCCATATAGACCTCACCATAGTAACTCCAGACATTGCCCCACTATTCAACTGGGACCACTTTCTTCTCATCATCTCATCGCACATAGCACTCGAAACCTCAGAGCATCAAAGATGGCACATCAACTCTGCCGACTGGGCAGGATTTCAAAACTCCCTAACCCTACCTAAAGTATTCTTATCACCAACCCAAGCATGCGGGGCAGTAACCACAGCCATCCTTGCTGCTGCTCATGCTCACATCCCACGCTCAGCACCAGGTAGACACAAATTAGGCAACTGCTGGTGGACCAAGGAGTGTGCAATGGCCAGATGCAGGAAGAACCGCGCCCTAACCAAGTACAGAAATCATCTTGGCAACCTCGACCTCTGGATTGGCTTCAAACGTGCACAAGCTATCTTCAGGAAAACAGTTCAGACCGCCTGTAAAGAGAGCTGGACAGAATACCTTGCCACCATGACAGAAAAAACCAGCAGCGGAGAGATATGGGGCAAGATCAAGGCTCTCTCCCACAGACAAGTTCAACGAGCACTGACACTTATCAGCAACAATACCCTACACACAGATCCATCCTCTACCTCAAACCTCCTCGGACAGCACTTCTCAAAGCAAAGCAGTGGGAAATATGATGACCCTGTCTTCTCTTCACATCAAGCAGCACAAGATGCCCGCCTACCTCACTTTGAAAGGGACTCGAGGAATGGTACAATAAAAAATTTACCCTAGATGAACTGCACCAAGCACTCCGTTCATCCTCATCCAAATCACCTGGAGCTGACACCATTCCCATCAGCTTTTTGCACCACTTCTCCTCCCAACAAATAGAATTGCTACTCAGCTTCTACAACTACACAAAATGGGCTCCCACATCAATGGAGGGAGGCTATTATTGTCCCCATCCTCAAGCCAGGAAAACCCGCAACATCTGTCTCCTCTTACCGTCCCATCGCTCTCACAAACTGCCTCTGCAAGATAATAGAAAAAATGATCAATTGGCGTCTGCAGGCACAACCAGAAAGATGCGCATTCTACAACCCCTGCCAAAGCGGCTTCAGAGCAGGGCACAGCACCTTGGATGCACTATTCCGCCTGGAATCAGCAGCTCATGGAAGCCTCATGATCAACAACTCATGTGCTGCAGTGTTCCTTGACATATCACGAGCATTTGACACCGTCTGGCACGGTGGTATCTTATTAAAACTTAGGAGCATAGGAATCAGTGGCAACATGGCCTGCTTTGTGAGAGACTTACTCTCACTGCACTCACTACGCACCCGTGTGGGTGGCAATACCTCAAACTCATACCCAGTATACAGCGGTGTACCCCAAGGCTCTGTACTCAGCCCAACGCTGTTTTGTATAATGATCAATGACCTCTTTGCAATGGTTCCCCCACCAGTGCAGTGCTCACTTTATGCTGATGATGGAGCCCTCTGGGTGTCCCAATCAACGCCAACAGAAGCTATCAACACTCTGCAAGGTGCCCTACAGACTATAGAGAGGTGGTCCCAACAGTGGGGGCTAACAATTTCTGCAGAGAAGACCACAGCCATTGTGTTTACCAGAGCCACTGAACTCCCGACCAACAGCTAATACTAAATGGCTTAAATGTACAACTTGTGGTCCATTTTCTTCTACAACTACAGGTCCATTTTCTGGGAGTTATATTTGATCAAAAACTGACTTGGGGCTCGCACATAGCAAACCTCACCTCCAGATGCACAGCTGACCTTCGGCTACTACGAGTGGTTGCTGCCAGGCGGTAGGGAGCTGATGCCTCAACACTACAGCGGCTGTATGTTGCATTAATCCAATCTAAACTTAACTATGCCTTGACTTGACTTGAACATGCTCAATGGCATGTTCATGGATACAGTTATATCACATAAATAATAAGATAATGTATGGATATGGTAATACCGTCAAACCGGGAAAAAGGGACGGATTTGAGCGTTTTTTGTTAATAACTTCTTACCATGAAACATTTCAGAAACAAGTTTAGGCTCATTTAATAGCTCTTTGCGAGGGATATCGAATGGCATCTTCAAAAAATTTCATATGCTATTTGTGAGGT